TTATTGATGGAAGTTTTCTTGAGCACAAAATATTATGTTACAAATTTTAACTAATTTCCCCGATTTACCCCCCCCCCCCCAAAAAAAATTTGGTAGTAGTGTGGAATGGGTACCCTTAAAACGGAGGGCAGTGTTCGGCAGTTGATGCCAGGAGGTGGGGTAGTAGATTAACAACCCGAAGAACAGTATTAACAACACAGATGTAGACTTCCTGTCGGATGTATGTAGGTAACACTAATAGAAAATTAGCATCCAGCGTTACGTTTGAAGAGCAGAAATCATACCTGACTTTTTGAAAACATACAGAAGTAGCAAAAAGCTGCACGAATGGCCGGCCAAATGCTGCCGGTTTGGACGCTACAAGCAACGACGTGTCCGGTATTGATTTATAGAGTCGTTCCTTGAAACTCCTGCTTGTATACCAGCGAGAGCAGTAAGCAAGTTTCGACATTTAACCACGCAGCTGGTATCGTCTTCGTAAATTATCAGTATTAAGTCTGCTTAAAGGCGATGATTCCAACTTTGGCTTATGGTTCCGGTAAAACAGTAGTTGGTTTTCCGAGGTCTGGTACCCAATATATTTATCTTTTTACTAATTTAAACAGGTTATTTTTTTTGGTGGGGAGGGTTATTTTATTACGCGGTTAAGTGCTTCGGACTATATAGCGTCAAACTGTATGACAAATGATTTGGAAAATATTACACACGAAGTGGTCGTGTCGTAATGAAAGTATGATCACGGCATTTGCCTGGATGGACAGAGAAACAACGAATCTGTCATGGTAGATGGTTTCCCATGCGGGATTCGAAATCAACACAAACCGAATGCAAGTCTAGTACAGCTACCCCAGCTTACTAGGATGTAGGGACAGATGTGAACACCTTTACATAAAATAACAAAAATTTAATACCTATGTCGAAAATATGCGTTTACATTTTATGCAGGAACGAAACGGGCGTTTAAAGGTGCAACGCAGTGTTGCATATGTATTCTTTGCACATATGCAGTCTCAGTGCTTTTAGGTGCTGCGTATGCCTTTGATGGTGTTATATTAAATTCAGAATTAGAAATTGGTTGCTGCTGTTACTTTGCACTTTGGTTACTTTTGCCAACTATTATTATGCCCCATGTTCATATGCTATGGTCACTCACTCACACACACAAGAGCTGAGCCTTTCTTGAGAAGGCGTCAATTGTGCAGCTGCTCAATTTTCCACCATTTTATGGACCTGAAGGTTCATTACCATGTTAACAAGAGCCCTCACTGGTCTCTATCCTGAACTAGATCAATCCATACCATCCCATTCTCTCTAAGATCCATTTTAATATTCACCCACCTACGTCTTAGCCTTCCTAGTGTGCTTTTTCCTTCTGGCTTTCCCACCAATATCATATATGCATTCCTCTTCTCCACCATTCATGCTACGTCTCCTGCCTATCTCATCCTCCTTTACTTGATCATTCTAGTTACACTTGGAGAAGAATACAAGTTATGAAGTTCCTCATTATGTAGTTTTCTCCAACCTCTTCTCTCTCTTAAGCCCAAATATTCTCTTCAGACACCCTCAATCTATGTTCCTCCCTTAATGAGCAAGTTTCACACCCATACAGAACCACAGGCAAAATTATAGCTTTGTACATTCTAATTTTTATGTTTTTAGACAGAAGGTGAGAAGACCAAAGGTGCTGGACTGAATGGTAGCAAGCATTACAGGAATTCAGTCTTCTCTTAATTTCCTCCTGAATCATGTTTTGATTTGTTATAGTCGTTCCCAAATATCTGAACTGTGCCACATTTCCAAAGGATCTCTTAGCTGTCTTTTCTGTCATGATTTTGCCCTAAGTTACTTCTAGGTTGGTAACCCCTCTTGAAATAATTTATTCCTCTATACAGGTCTCTAATGTTCTTGTTCTTACTGTTCATTGCAAGCTCATATCTTTCAGATATCCCCTCTTTTTATTCGTGAAATGCATACTGGTTTCACGTTTTATATCGTTCAGATTATCCCCATTTATTTTGCTTGGATCCTGTAACCACTGCAGTTTGGCTTATTTCCTTTGGTCAAATAATTTTGAGCATCCTTCATCGAACCATGGCTTGTGGTTCTTCAGTTCACAATAACCTAGACTTTCTTTGACAAATGTTTATATTCTCTATAATATTTTCCCAAGCTTTATTAACATCCACCTTTTTTTTTATTGCTAGTGGGGTGGGACTAATTTCTTTTAATGCTAATGGGGTGGGACTAAGTCCCTTGTACAGCAGCCACTTTTGGCCTATTGTACCAGCCCCAGATAATAGGTAAGGGTGATTGTGGAGCAATTGGTGAAATGAAGATTGGCAGGAGAAACCGAAGTACTTGGAGAAAACCTGCCCCAGCGACACTTTGTCCATCACAAATCCCAAATATCCACTTTAGTATCTGAAGTTTTCCAAAGCTGCGAACCTATTTGAAATTTCAACACGATAACTGCTCTTTACCTTCTACCTAATTTAATTTCTTGAGATTGAACCTCTCCATATGAATGTTTTTTTTTCTCACATCCAATCTCACCCTAACTTTTGCCACCACCAGATAGTGGTTAGTATCACAGTCTGCCACCCTGAACGTTCAGACATCAAGTATACTTGAATGTTGTCTCCCATCTATCAAAATATGGTCAATTTGAATGTGTGTCTTTCTATCAGGAGATGGTCCAAGTAAATTTATAAATGTTACGATGTGAGAAGATCATACTTTTGAGAAAAAGATTATTGGATGTGCCAAGTTTATTACTCTAATTACAATTATAAATTATCATTACTAATTTCATGTAAACTCTGTGGTTACTCACTTTAACAAATGACCGAAAATTTTTTGGAGGCTTAGTACCATACAATATTTTGTGATCCTCAGTTAGGTGGTGCTGTGGTACTCTCATTTGTGGAAATTATAAAGTGGGAGTTTGGTTTAACATTTACAGTCGCTATCTAACAACATTCTAATCCATCCAGCAGTTGCATATTGGTAATGGAAATTGGATCGGTTACATGACACAGCAAATTTTGATATTGATTCTTCTTTGGTTTTATTTGTCCCATTTCAAGTGTTCTGTATGTAGGGTATACTCAAAATGCAGGCCAACTCTCCTTTTAAAACAATGTACCCTCAGTATATGCATTCTTTTTATGAATATCATGCAAGGAAGGGACAGTAACTTGTGAGAGACATCTGTCTTCTGAGGCAGGGGATTGTAGTATGGAGTTTGGCTCCCAAGGTCTTCACTGCTTATCCCAAACTCTCTTCCCTCTTCCTCACCATATGGTGGGTCAAAGAATTGCATTCAACAAAAGGCAGAGAAGAAAAACATACTTAATAGTGTTCAGGACACACTACTTAGTTGCCTAAAAGAAATAAAATCATGTAAAGTAGTCGTGTATTGACAGAAGTACTGAACTTACTGATTAACATGAAACTTTTTTTTTGGGTTCCGATGGTTTAATCTAGGTACACCATGTTGATCTCGTAGGTATGTGATGTGCAAAGAATTAGTGCAATAAATTGTTGAAAATTGAATTTGCTCCTATGGACTTTTTGATTAACATATGACCTGAATTTAAACACTGTATGTTTTCTTTGTTTTAGGAAGTGCAAGGCTGGACACCTTTGCTGGTGTTGACAGGGGTGGCTACAACTGTAGGTTCATCTATTCCTGTTGGCTACAACATCGGTGTAATGAACACTCCAGCGCATGTAAGTCAGTGTTAGTTTTGTAAATTGGTTGTAGAGTACCTGAAAATTAAGGCTAATGATGACACCAGGGATGAAGTACATGAAGGTCATGAATAAAGAACTTGGCTGTATTCAGTTCCGCATTCTTTGTAATAATTCTGCAACCTCTGTCAGTATCAAACTTTTCTTTTTAGTTTTTATTGTAAAGCACCACCAAACGCCTGCTTTTATATCTTCTGATTTAATGTGACAATTATAAGACTCTTTAATAATGGAGTGATTGATATATGTGTTTTGCTTTTGATGGTTTTTGTATATGGGTATGTGGTCGGTGAAGGATTAGAATGCAGCTAGGATAAAGTTGACCCCCTGAATAAGGATCCTTTATCATGTCAGGTGGGAAGAAATTGTGAATATTAAAATTCATGGCTGGAGGTGGTCACAGGAAATGAAAATTTGTCATTTTTTTTTGTATAAGACTGAGCAAGTTCACTGAAGCAGTAATGGTTCCTGTATTTTTGTTCAGGTTCATTCAGGCATCAGCAGGGATATGTACTGTCCTAATTACGTACTCACTCATGGAGCTGAGCCCTTCTTGAGGTGCCGCTAATTCTGCAGCTACTCAAGAATTTCCCAGCATTTTATGGAACCCGAAGGTTCATTACCATGTTCACAAGAGCCCTCCACTGGTCCCTGTCCTGAGCCAGATCAATCCAATCCATACCATCCCATCCTATCTCTCTAAGATCCATTTTAATATTGTCCACCCACTTACGCCTTGGTTACTGTCCTCATTATGAATATTAATATTTCTCTTCAATCCTTTGAGACAATTGGTGAGACAATACCTTGAATAAGGCTACAACTGCTTCGTTCCACTTCTTTATGATTCATTATTCACTACCACCTAGTCATCCAGTGTTATATAGTCTTGAGTTAACTGATGGTGTTAAATAAACATGCATCATAGATCAGTTTTGCATGAAGCTGTGTAGGTCTAGACTTTATATGTACTACTCAAAAATAATATTCTTCAATATGTGCTCTATACAGATAATTCGTGAGTTCTGCAATGCAACAGTGGCTGATCACTATGGAATCAATATGGGCCCATCTCAATTAAACATCCTCTGGTCCATCATTGTTTCAATCTTCCTTGTGGGCGGGGTGACTGGCTCACTGAGTGGAGGTTGGGTGGCTGATCGCTTTGGAAGGTAAGGATCATTTCTATTTAGCATCGAGTGTTAGTGTTAATAATGGTCAGAAATTTATATTTAAATAATTTTGACCTTTTTACAATTTTATTAGGAATGTTCTTGAAGCAACGGAATATGAATTTGTTCATATGTTTGACAGTCAACTTGTAATTATGATTTTAACAGGAAAGGAGCTGTGATAATAAACAACATTCTGGGTATTTTGGCAGCCATCTTGTTTGTAAGCTCACGGCATGCAGGCTCAGTGGAGATGCTTCTTCTGGCTCGCCTCGTTGTTGGTCTCTCCTCTGGTAAATAATTCAACTTGCTCCGGATAATGTTAAATGTGTGTTGGTGTGTACAACCCAGATGCTTGAGAGGACATGTATGCTCTCTGTTTCCAGGTCTTGTCACAAGTACCATTCCAATGTATCTGACTGAGATTTCTCCTCTTAGCATCCGTGGTGCTATGGGTGTCTTGTGCCCCCTAGGGATCACTGTTGGAGTCCTTGTTGCTCAGATTTTAGGACTCAAGAGTGTACTAGGTAATTCTCTTATTTTTTTTATTTGTAATTAAACTTTCCAGCTACATATTCAGCATTTTCAGGATTTATCTCACTACAGAAAGGTGGTCGTTGTGAAATTTGCTGTTAATTTGCAATGACATTTGCACTATAAGGATGTCTCCAGATCAAAATCTGGTATTAGATTGAAGTGATCAATTTTAGACCAGCTGTGGAAGAGGATAAGATCAATGTACTTATGATCCTTGTTACCAGAATATAATGTTCTGACAAATTGCCAGGCATACTTTTTTATTTTTCATTGTGGCACTCTTGGGTTGCTTTTGTGCATTCTAATTGCTGTCAGGTTCAGTGATGAGTGGTCTGGCATCTCGAGAATGCTACAGTATAATATGTGAGTAGGTCAGGTCCTTGTCACTTTCTGGGCAAGATTTGTATTAACATAGAACAGATTTACCCATATTCAGAATTTTTTATGCAAATGGTACACATTCTCATAAATGGGCATTAAGAAATCAGATTTCTTAAGAACTGAAGAGCTATATTTTCTGAGATATTCCGTGTAGCCCCTTGAAAGTTGACGTTTTGGAAGAAAATGTGACCTCCATATTCAGAATTAAAGAGTATGCCAAGCAAGAGAACAGTGTGAAGCAGAAAGTAAAGTTAAACTGTTATCAGACTACATGACCTTACATCTCAAAAGGTAAAATTCCACCTAACCACTGTGAAAAACTCTAATACTGTATCCTTAATAAGTACTCAAAAATTTCCACATGCATCAAGTATTAGTCTGAGCATGATTTATAACGTGTTTGTAACAACCTTAAGTTTTACGTATAGAATTGTGATAATTCTTTTAGACATAGCCATTCGGCTTATGTTTTTTGATAAGGTTTTCTCCCAAACAGTATTTTTTGGTGTCTGATTGAAAGGTTGAGATGTTACACATGCCCACAAGTCATATATGGGGTGAAAAATGTAAAGCATTAAAAATATAATACTGAAAGATTTAGAAAGATTGCTGTAATTGAAAGCATGAATTTTATTAATTTCCTCTGTGGAAAGTAAGACAGAAGGGCTCAGGGCCCTTGCAGCCCCGTATGCAGTGAATACAATGATAGTTTCCCTGAGGTAAAGTGTCCCAGGTCTGAAGCTGACCACTAGTGTTAATTTCATGTCAGAGGAGTTACTCCTCTGCTGTCCCATGTGTTGTCATGGTATGGTGCTTAACTGTGCTCAAGGATGACTCCCTTAATATGAGGATGTTCACATGTTCCTGGTACTCATTTCTCTTAAGAGACTGAGTCAACCCCAGGTCCATAGTGCCGCTGGAAGGATTAGATCATGGAATGGATGGGTTCTTGTTATATGTATATGGTTTTTAATTTTTCAACATTTTCATTTGATTTGGAGATAGTTTAATTGCATAGTGGATAACAGATGTTGTGTATAACATAAATGTTAACTTGCACACCTGAGATCCCAGTGTTCCCTCCAAAATACAAATTAGTTTACTTACTTGCTTATGGAGCTGAGCCCTTCTGGAGGAGCCAATTCTGCAGCTACTCAAGAATTTAACAGCATTTTATGGAACCCAAAGGTTTNTAATTGCTGTCAGGTTCAGTGATGAGTGGTCTGGCATCTCGAGAATGCTACACTATGATATGTGAGTAGGTCAGGTCCTTGTCACTTTGTGGGCAAGATTTGTATTCACATAGAACAGATTTACCCATATTCAGAATTATTTTATGCAAATGGTGCACATTCTCATAATTGGGCATTAAGAAATCAGATTTCTTAAGAACTGCTCGAATCCTGTATCCCTAATAAGTACTCAAAAATTTCCACATGCATCAAGTATTAATCTGAGCATGATTTATAACGTGTTGTTTTGGGTATAGAATTGTGATAAATCTTTTAAACATTGCCATTCAGCGTACGTTTTTTGATAAGGTTTTCTCCCAAACAGAATTTTTTGGTGTCTGATTGAAAGGTTGAGATGTTACATGCCCACAAGTCCTATANTCCAGCTACATATTCAGCATTTTCAGGATTTATCTCACTACAGAAAGGTGGTCGTTGTGAAATTTGCTGTTAATTTGCAATGACATTTGCACTGTAAGGATGTCTCCAGATCAAAATCTGGTATTAGATTGAAGTGATCAATTTTAGACCAGCTGTGGAAGAGGATAAGATCAATGTACTTATGATCCTTGTTACCAGAATATAATGTTCTGACAAATTGCCAGGCATACTTTTTTATTTTTCATTGTGGCACTCTTGGGTTGCTTTTGTGCATTCTAATTGCTGTCAGGTTCAGTGATGAGTGGTCTGGCATCTCGAGAATGCTACAGTATAATATGTGAGTAGGTCAGGTCCTTGTCACTTTCTGGGCAAGATTTGTATTAACATAGAACAGATTTACCCATATTCAGAATTTTTTATGCAAATGGTACACATTCTCATAAATGGGCATTAAGAAATCAGATTTCTTAAGAACTGAAGAGCTATATTTTCTGAGATATTCCGTGTAGCCCCTTGAAAGTTGACGTTTTGGAAGAAAATGTGACCTCCATATTCAGAATTAAAGAGTATGCCAAGCAAGAGAACAGTGTGAAGCAGAAAGTAAAGTTAAACTGTTATCAGACTACATGACCTTACATCTCAAAAGGTAAAATTCCACCTAACCACTGTGAAAAACTCTAATACTGTATCCTTAATAAGTACTCAAAAATTTCCACATGCATCAAGTATTAGTCTGAGCATGATTTATAACGTGTTTGTAACAACCTTAAGTTTTACGTATAGAATTGTGATAATTCTTTTAGACATAGCCATTCGGCTTATGTTTTTTGATAAGGTTTTCTCCCAAACAGTATTTTTTGGTGTCTGATTGAAAGGTTGAGATGTTACACATGCCCACAAGTCATATATGGGGTGAAAAATGTAAAGCATTAAAAATATAATACTGAAAGATTTAGAAAGATTGCTGTAATTGAAAGCATGAATTTTATTAATTTCCTCTGTGGAAAGTAAGACAGAAGGGCTCAGGGCCCTTGCAGCCCCGTATGCAGTGAATACAATGATAGTTTCCCTGAGGTAAAGTGTCCCAGGTCTGAAGCTGACCACTAGTGTTAATTTCATGTCAGAGGAGTTACTCCTCTGCTGTCCCATGTGTTGTCATGGTATGGTGCTTAACTGTGCTCAAGGATGACTCCCTTAATATGAGGATGTTCACATGTTCCTGGTACTCATTTCTCTTAAGAGACTGAGTCAACCCCAGGTCCATAGTGCCGCTGGAAGGATTAGATCATGGAATGGATGGGTTCTTGTTATATGTATATGGTTTTTAATTTTTCAACATTTTCATTTGATTTGGAGATAGTTTAATTGCATAGTGGATAACAGATGTTGTGTATAACATAAATGTTAACTTGCACACCTGAGATCCCAGTGTTCCCTCCAAAATACAAATTAGTTTACTTACTTGCTTATGGAGCTGAGCCCTTCTGGAGGAGCCAATTCTGCAGCTACTCAAGAATTTAACAGCATTTTATGGAACCCAAAGGTTTATCGCTGTGTTCACAAGAGCCCTCCACTGGTCCCTATCCTGAGCCAGATCTATCCAATCCATACCATCCCATTCTGTCTCTTAAGATCCATTCTAATATTGTCCACCCGCCTACGCCTTGGTCTTCTCTGTGGTCTCTTTCCTTTTGGCTTTCCCACCAATATCTTATAGGCATTCCTCATCTCCCCCATTGGTGCTACATGACCTGCCCACCTCATCCTCCTCGAACAAATTAGTTTATGACTGTATAAAGACTGGTATTGATAGGAAGGACCAGCAGTTCTGTGAGATGATTCCTCCCTCTCCTCAAGTATGTCTGAGGCAAATTGGAAGTGAGGATGTCTGTAACTATTCCCAGTTACATCTTGAAAAAATCCACAGATTCTCAGCCATGACATTTTCTGCTACAAAACCTGAAGGTTCATTACCATGTTCACAAACTCCTATGCCTGAAGCCAATCATCAGTCCACTGCACTCCTAAACATTCTCGCTAAGGTCCATTTTGATGTTATATTGTCACATGTTAATGACTACATGTGGGGTTTGGATTGGTAATTGGATTTACAACTTGTGCCTACAAATAACTAAGGGCAAGAGCACACCAAGGAAACTGGGAACTGCAATTTCCAAGAATTGTTATCAGCCTAAGTTGAACACACGTTTGTGAATGAAGCAGTGCAAATTGAGGAAATGGCAATGCAATAAACTTTTTGTACTTCACTCTCGCAGGAACACCCTGTAGAATGTAGGCAGCTGGCTCATTCAGGGCAGCGATTGGGTATGTGGCTTTCTCACAGGGCATCCAGTAGTTGTGCTCCAGCACAGTATCTGCTGCTGGAACATGACCCACGATGATCTGTATAATGTAGGTGGCTGCAATGTGCAGCGCACACTGTCGTTCCTGCTCTGCTGAAAGATCCGCATTCAGCTTTGACTTCGATTCCTGCTAGCTGCATTGTTAACTTGTGCCATATGATGATGTGGTCTAGAGGAACTCGTGTGACTTCCTCTACCAGCGTTTTGAGCCCATCATGAATGCCTTTCACTGTGTTCACATTCTCCCTATGAAGGGCCATCTTTGTGTTCCCCTATCTCCTAGTAGAGTCTTTGGATTTTCATATCAAGAGACAGTAGTAACCCATCTGCGTTGCTTCAATCCTGGCATTGTTTTCCTGACAGAGGTAGGGTGTTTGTTGGTTGACATAGGATGTTTTACCCATTTTGTTTGACGATTTCCAGTTCAGGCTAAACGGAATTTATTGTGGTCTCATTTTTTCATGGTTGGCCCTTTCTGTGGCTTTCATTTCTTGGCTGCACCTTTATCTCTACTTTTCATGAATGGCATCCATCTCCTATTAGCCTCTATCTTCTCTTGAGTGGCCTCCATCTTTTTGCAGCTGCCTCTCACTGTGGCCTTCAGTTCTTGTTTGACTGCCACCCTGGTTTCTCAGCCTTTCCATGATGGTTACCAGATGTTCAAAGTCCACGATGATTATCAACCACATAGGTTCCAATCCAGTCCCACTTGTGACACCACTTGTTTCAGGTTTGTGACTAGACGAGGAGTTAAGATAACTGCCTTTATTGAATGTTTGTAACTTAACAACAGATAACTACAAAAGTGCCACAGGTTTACACACACACACTGTAGCTCACTACAACTGCAGCTCTTAGAACTCTCAGATGGTAAATTGTGGTCATTCATCCCATGAGGCGTGGAACTAAGAATCGCTGTGCTGTCAAGGGATAGCAGCAGTGTAACAGTTACTGCTACGTAGCAGCTGCTATGAATGTAAGCCAAGATCGACTAACCCCTGACTCTGACCGACTTTTTCCCAATGGCCCTCACTGTTTAACCTCGGTTCAGATTTCATAGAAAACACCACTTTCAGCAGTTCCTCTATTATGTGTCAATTCATTTCTCTAGAAACGTGGAAACATGTTTACAGCAGTGGTTATGTCCTGTTCAGCTTTCAGCTATTAATGACAATGTAAAATTGTGTAGGAAGGGAGATGAGGGAATTGATAGTTTCAGTAGATGGATGAAATGGACATATCATTATTCAGAGGACTATTTGTGGTTGATTACAGCAGCATACTTTCCTGATTCTGAAATGTGTTCGTAATGGATCCTTGTTGTGCTTTTGCAGGTCAAGATGACACATGGCATTATCTGCTTGGGCTGTTTGCCCTTCTTACCCTTTTGTCAATGGTGGCTTTTCCATTCCTTCCAGAGAGCCCAAAGTTTCTCTACATTGTACGTGGACATGAAGAGAAGGGGATAAAGGGTATGTAAGCAACTTTTAATGGGCAGCTTGTTGTCATATTGGATGCACCAAATATTGTCTGCAATCTGATCAGTTTTGGCTGTCATTGATTACAGTTTGCTTCTAATAATGTAGTATCCCTTTTGTACTTTTAATTAAAAAGAAAAGTAGTGTTATATATGCTGCTCACTCTTCTTGATGCTAAATTTTGTGAAAATTTCAACTGTGACAGTAATGTAGGTCAAGTTGAAACTGATATTCAGAAACATTTCTTGAGGCTTTTATTTAAAAATGCGTGGAATTGTTGCAAGGAAAACATCTCCAAATGCCTAAAAGGGAAAACATTTGCTGGCTGATTTTTTTTTTCTGTTCCATGACAAAATCAGCATTATATTGAAGTTTCTTTTGCAGCTTCATAGTACTTTCTGCACATCAGTGAATTAGAGTTGGTGAACTTATGTATAATGTTCTGATTCTGTGGACAAGCATCTGTGAACTAAATTGTAAATACTGAAATAAGTGGTGTAAGTTTGAAAAGAAAACATACATTTTGTACTTAATATTTCTTTTGCAGAAGGTAATTTTTTTATATTTGGTGCATTCTATACTGTATCTTGCCCATTTCATCAAATACCTCATTGTGTGGAAGTACACTTGTTTTTAATAATACCCACAAACTTTCATTTTGCCATTAGTGAAAAATTTAACTTTAGTAACTTTCAGCTTTACACTGGTTAGACCTTTTCTGTTTTAATAACTTTAAAGTCAGATAACTTCATTGCTTGTACATTACCATTTTGGTATAGCAGTACTGTTTTCCATAATTGTTTGCTTTTGATGCACCAGTCTGCATCTGATTAATTTTGAGGGCATAAGAGTTATTTGATTTGGAAGTTTTTTTTTTTAGACAAATTATGGCCTAAGCATACTTGATTTAGGTACTACAACTACAGTTTGTTGAAGCTAACCATTTGACTGCTAATTAGTTTTTATGCCCACTCCAGTGTGATGACTTTAAAAAAGAAAAATGCGTGTAAGAAGTGAGACTTTCCGTTCTCTGGGTGCACATCCTGGCTGTTTCATTTCCTGCTGTGACAATGATACAAGGTACATGTTGGTAGCAGGATGTACCCTTTGAACAACAAATTAAGCCAGGTTACCGATGGTCACACCGTATAATGCCATGTCTCTTTCAGAAGTTGGTACCTTAGGGACAATTTGTAGTTACATTAAGGTGCAGAAATCTTGAGATGAGTGACATGATGTGTTCAGGATTTAAAGATTTTAGCAGTCGAAAGGTTAATGTGATGCTGTCTGGAGATCTTAAATGGTTTACTATGACCTGATTACTAAGTTTCTGTATTTTTTAAATGTCTCAACAGTTTGTTTTTTTTTTACAATTTGACAGCTGTGGGTTTTCCAGCATTGTTTGTTTTGATTCAGGTAGGGAGGTCATAACAGATTCCTTATAAATATGTTTCAGTTTCATGTTCTTTATGAAATTATTGCACTCAATTGAAATATTGGCCCTTTAAGTGGAATGACGGAACTGCTTATTTGTCAGTTTACAAGTCTATGTGAATAAACATATTCTGCGTTTTTAATTTAGTCTCACTTAAAGGGTTATAAAAGAGAGATGTTTCAATACACAGTACCAATCATGTGATCAATGGCATAAGTTGATACTTCCTGTGAATCTTACATTCTGAGCTTTTAATGTAACAATGGACTTCTTGTGATTTTAGTATTTGGCTGGTTACTGCTTGCATACAAAAAGAATGCAGTAGTATGTCTTCTTACTAAAGCTGTGCTGTTTTCCTTGTTTTTTTTTCTTATATGAATCAAAAATTGTTTTTCAAGCTGTAACTTAGTTTGAGTGAAGATTGTCATTTGCCTATCATGCACAAAGGCCCTTAATTTTTATTTGAAATAGTAATTTGCTGTGACACCTTTAGTCAATCACAAAACATTGTTACAAAATTAAGCTTGAGAGTGGCTCTGTTGCCCTTCACACAGTGTGTTTTTGAATGCATTGGATTACTAGTTGTTGTGTGTGTCTGTGATTGTTTTCATATATATCGGGAATTGTTAGAGAATGGAATTTGTTGCCCATCGTTATGTTTGTTTTCAACACAAACCACCTGGGCTGATGGTGTAGGTAAGTGCATGATACCCTAGCCCTTCATATTTCAATATTTGACTTGACGGGCTTCAGAAGCGATGCAGACCTGTGTACATGGAAGTGGGAACAGATGAGTGAATGTTTCTGAAAGGTGAATGATAGTGCAGAATCTTATTGCATGTCACAAAGTAAAGGAAAGAAGTTTAGCACCTGTTTTTAGTACAAATTTTTTGATTGTGTAACATAATACATTATATATGTAATTAATGGAGGTTTTCATGCAGGTTTTACTCATCACATAAAATATGGGTAATTACGATTTCTTTACTGTGGGATATGTAACATCATGAAAGCCCTGTAGTAAATACATAGTTAAGTTGACAGTGGTGTAGTGACTTAATTTCAGAACTGATTTTATTACCTCTTTTAACAACTAGCCAGAATTTGGTAAAGTACTTTTTAAATAAAACATTATTTTAAAGTAACAGTTTATACTCACTGTGAAACTTTAGTTTTGAAGCCCAGGGTAAGAAGGGCTGTGTACTTGAAATAGTAACTTAAGCTGTCTTGCTGAAGACAGAGTTTGAACTTAATGTTAATTTATGGTGGATTAAATAAAGTTCACTGTATTTTCTCTCTGTTCCACTTTTTTATGATAGCATGTCAGTTTAAATATTTATATTAAGATCTTACCTTGATTTCAATAAAGGAATTCATAAAGTCCAAAAGTTTGGGCTCACTTTAAGTAAGAAGTTTCAATCTGTTTTGAAAATTTAGCAGGAGGTAATTGTGATAATGACGTTTTTGGTGAAATACTAAATTTTGTAAACTTGAATCACTATGCCACTGTAACACATGCAGCAAGGTGTACCAAAGAGCTGCTGGAAATGTGTTGCTGTCGATGAATGGTATGGCATGCTGTAGTTTGATTCATGTAAGATGAGTGGATGAGAATCTCTTGTAGTGGACTGGCAGTTTGGTTATTAAAGTAAACCACTCTTGAAATTGCTTATTGCTTGTCCATGCCTGCAGTGACTGCCATTGCATATGCATTTAATGCTTGATCAGACAGAACTGAAATGTTTGCAAATACATTTGATACGGGAGTATGAGAAGGGGACGGATGAGCACTGCCTTAATTTCGAACACCAAAATGCTCAAAAGTAGCACATTAAATGGAAGATATGCAAATGAAATTCCATGTTCTCTAGTGCCAAATATTTTTAAATTCAATGTATATTTAGAGAGTTAAGTAGGGACATTTTGGTTAGATACTGAGCGTGTGTTCTGATTGGTTGAGAGAATACAGTTCATAATTGTCTTAGTTTTATCTAAGTCTGATAAATAATAGTGGAGCTTAAGGAAACTGGACAAGCAGATGTGGTACAGTGGGCATTATTTGGATAATGGAGAAGTGATTAACTTGTTTCTAGCCACCATATTAGCAAGGTAAATGTATGATGGATGCAAACATTTGTACATGTGATGGCATGCTCAGGATACCTTGACACTCCATTAAGATGTAACTGAAGAGCCAGTTGATGGTAAATGGAAACAACTTGATGATTGAACCATTTACTTTAATATTGCTTTCAGGTTGTAATGAAAAGGGATGATTATTTCAGTGTCTGATACATAACAGACACTGAAAAGAAAGGAGATGGAAAAAAACAATTTGTTTTGTTGCATCCTCACTTGGAAAAACTTTGCCTGAGTTCATTCTCAGACCAGCTGAGTGTATGTGGAAGTGGGCATAAGAGTGCTGTAAGCTAATTATATCCTTAGTAGAGGCAGTAATAACCCAGAACATTTATTGTTCTTATCAAAAACATTCTGTTTTGAATTTTTTCTTGCAGTATAGAATTAATGTTTGATATAGGCTGAATGGTTAAGGAATCAGGATTCAGTTCTTAGCAAGGACAAGAAGGTTTTCTCTTCTCCCTGGCATCGAGGCCAACTGTGGTGCCTACCCAGTCTCTTGTCCAGTGTGTACTTGATGTTTTTGCCCAGGGTAAACTGTCCAGGGCATGAAGCTGATCACTCACCCCCATACAGTCCCAAGGTTAAGAATATGTATATGCATTCTTCCCCCCCCCCATGTCTTCATAGCATGGTGCTTGGTTATGCACAGACACAGCGTTTCCTTTTGCCTTTATCTTGTTACATAAAATTTCATCTCGAGACACATGAAAACTTGTTATTTCTTGCCCGGTATGGAAGTGGATGAGAGTGGTAGTTTCAAATTCTGTATTTGTGTTCATGTGGCACAATATTTTGCATATAACACCTTAATCTTGTATTCCCCTTTTATAGTCCCCTGCCAGTGCACTACGTAAGTGAAGATGGTTGATGTGAATTTGTATGTTGAGAGTTTGGTGTACCAGCATTAAACACAGGAGTTCAAAATTAAAATTGTAGCTCAAGTTTTTAATGACCATAAATTGAATAAGTGTGTTGAAATAGCATCAGTAACTTCCATATTACTCTAACTTTTGGTGATTAATCTTTGTTTATGAGGAAGATAAATTCTATATCAATTTATAAAATAATTCATAATATTGTAACAACCAGGTCAGTTTTTTCATACTGCAGAAGTGGTTAATGCTGGGCTTGTTTGTAGGTATGTCACCAGTAAGTGTGCCCTGCCTTTTAGTCCTTAAGACTATTTGCACTATTCAATAAAATGTGTTTGTCACCAAACACAATTCAAAGCTTGTTTACTTACAGCATTTTATGTCTAAAATGGCAGTACAATTTTTAAGTTTCTGTTCAGATAAAACAATTTGTCTTTTTGCACATCTCATGGCTTGAGTATTTTTTTCTGGCACCAAGATAATGGCCTTGTTGCTTAGCAACTATGTGCATCTACTTACTTTCAATCTTCAAGTTCTTTGAAATTTAGTTTCCAAATATTTGAATGAGCTGTTGAATATTTTCTTACTTTTTTCTGGTTTTGCTATGAGCTTGATAATTCTAAAAATTGCTGAAACTGGTGCAAATGAGCTAGAAGGAAAGGGATTTTACTGAGTTAACAGACCTGCTTGCATGTGCATGAATATCTGGGAATTGTGATTGCGTTGGTCTGTAGAGCAAATGTAATAGTTGAAGCAGAATGTTTTGGATATCTCTATAGGATCACAGGAAACGACAAGAAATAAATGAATGCCATGATCAACAACCTGTGAACAGTATTTGGATCGCATACATATGCAAGTGTGCGAAGTGGTGCGATCGTTATTGGCTTCAGAGCTGTCTCGTCTGCGCGGTGTGGCACCCGAGCAACTGGCGGATGAGTTGGAGGATCTGCGTGCAGCTCACAAGGCAGAGCAGGAGTTGGCAGCCGGTGGGGTCTCCTGGAGCATGGGGAGTGTCGCTCGTGCCCCAACCCTTCGTCTTCCTCTCATGTTGGTCTGCGCTCTTCAGGCTGGACAACAGTGCAGTGGAATTAATGCTGTAAGTGTATGAAAGTAGCGTAGTCAGTTCCACTCTTACACACTTCTTCTGTTAATCTATTGATAAAATAATACATTAATAGAAGTGTTCCTCGGCATTACTAATGTACTCATACTGTAATATGGTGCTTGAAAGGCGTTTAAAAGAATGAAGCTGGAAGAACAAAAGAACTGGTCTGATAGTATTAGGATATTAGTAAATTTAAATAGTTCAGCAGTGCGTTAAATGTTTCATCCAAAGATGGGAGTATATAAATTATGTGCAAAAATTGTGCAAGATGCAGTAGAAAGTTGAAGATTCTGTCTTTTGGAATGTGACCCTGTAGTTTTATAGGTAGATAGGTGCCAGTGTTTTGGAGGAATGTTATTACTCCTGGCTCCATCTTCAAGGCCGAAGACCCTGAAGATGGAGGCAGCACTTTCTCCTGAAATATTTGTACCTATGTACATGATCTCAAGATCCTAAAAGACAGCAATAATCATTGCTGTCAGAACCTCAAATTTAACAAGTTTTTTGTATGAAGTTGGATTTCAGTGTATTAATTGCATTTGTGACAGTTTTCCCTCTGCAGAATTGAGGAACATGATGGTACTTTGTAGTGGGAATGTGAAAAGTGAATTTGTCATCATTTGATGAATTTTGAGAATTACGGAATTGCATGTTTCCACAAGACTGGCATGTGTTCAGCTTTTTCGTGCTTTTCTGTATGGTTCATCTGCCTGCCTTTCTGTGTCCCAGTGTTTTAATTGTAAAGGCCTGCCGAAAGTAAAATCACGTGTTCTATATAATTTACTTAAAAATATGATTGTCTGCAGTAATATTGACTCTTTTTAAGTCATTAAAAGCCAAATATAGTTAGTGCCTTGTAACTTTAGCCACATGGAAAGATAAACGCTGTTGTGGAGCACGCGAAGCTGTACACAACAAACAAGCAACACAATGTACTCTACACCTGACCACACTCCAGGACGCTACATTCCAAACTGGTAGTACCCGTGCTGAAGTAAGCTGATAAGACTGCCCCCCCCCCAGCTCCGCAAGAGACCGTGAGAACCGGTCTCTTTGCTTGCAGATTTCTTATATATTTTTTCTTCTACCCTGAAGATGGAGGCGATACGTTCCTCCGAAACGTCGGTTAACACCACATATACATGGTGCCAAATCCCAGAAGACTGCTTTCTTCATGGTCACCACCGTGAAAGCCTCAAATCTTACACAATACATTGATACACACAAGAGGATGCATTCTCTGAAGATTACTAATGCTAGAGCATTTCATGTCGCATTTGTAATTACAGCGAAATTCCTTGAAATGTTGCAAATCCAAACTGAATTTAACCCCGTCAGGCTAGGCAATACAAGTGGGCTGTTTCAACCAGGAGTGGGATTTAAAGTAGCATCTTTGTGTCAGTTCTGTTGCTAAGAGTATTAATTTTTTGTGGGATTGAGCTGCAACCCAGCAAGAGTGAACTGCCCAGTGTTATTTCCTGATTAGTTTAGTCTAACAGCTAACAGACGAACAGATGGTGTTCATCTATACAGATATTTCAGCTAAGGCACACAGATAACATGTGGTACATCAGAACCTTCCAGCTAGTATAAATTAGCAGATATAAAGCAACTGTTAGAACAATTGTAGATGCTCTGTCTCTTACATATCAGGGGAACAAGTAATGTGGTGTGGTTAATAATTTTTCTATTTTAACAGGTGTTCTACTACTCGGTTACCATCTTTGAAAGTGCTGGTTTGAGTAAACAAGGTAGCCAGTATGCAAGCATTGGTGCTGGTGGCATTAACCTCCTCATTACAATCATTGCCATCCCTCTGGTGAACCGATGTGGGCGCCGTAAGCTGGCTCTTGCCAGCTGCTGGACTGCAGCCATCTGCCTAGTCGTACTTTGTATTTCAATTACTTATATTGTAAGTTTGACAGATGTATTTCTAAATGTGGCAGAAAGTCAGTTAACAAGATGTATTTCTAATAGCCGTGTCATTTCAAACGTTACGATTTTAAAGGGAGTCGATATTGACATTGATACATGGAACATCCGGCTCTTAATTAATCATAATACAAATGTGTGTAACTTTAGACATTTTATTGGTGAAAATTCATAGAAATGTTACATTTTTGTTTGTAAAAGTATCACTTTCCTGATCAGATTTTTCAGCCAATATGTCTTCCAGAAGCAGAATCAAATTATTTTAGCTACTGGTGTGGGTTGAACAACTGTAGCACAAAAGGAAAAGGGCCAGGTAAAGCAAAGAAGGGGACAGTGCTCATGTGTGGTGTTGGTTTTGGTTGCATGAAAACTTGAGATAACTGGTTTGCCGTTCATATAGTTGATTATTTATTAATATTTTCAGTGGGCCAGCTTATTTGTCACATTTCATATTCTTGGGTTACAGTTTGATGTGGTGGGCATGTGGTTTATTGCAAAATTGAGGAAATTTGTGTACTGTATAATGCCAGGTGCATGGTGTATTATGTATCTTATACAGGATGTATTTTGTGTAACCAGTGCTTATTGCTGGAAATGTGTTTAAGGTGTATATAGTTCACAGTAAATTGTGTTAGCCAGGATGTCAGTTTTAGTTTCTTTATTAGCCTCGGAGGTCTAGGAAGCAAAAAATTTTGTGCTGCTTGGTGCAGCAGTAGTGTAGTGATATTGTCTCAGTCACAATAACTGAACCAAACTTTTTATAACAGCCAGCGCTCTTCATGTAATAATTGTTCATGTGGAATAGCTGGCATGAAATGATCCTCAGAATGGCTAAGCCCATAGCCTAGTTTTAACTTGAAAATATTCCAAGCACAAGCCATATGTATTCAAATTGAATTAGAAGTTGTTTGGTGTGCCATTGAAAATGTAAAATGAAATTAACCCATGTAAAATGGAAATGTGGGGGGAGGAGGGGGAAAAGAAGAAGAAAATTATCATCAAATGGAAATTTAAAATTACGGTTCTCTCTTACCATTTTGTAGGATTTTATTAAGCACAATCCTTTTACAGCTGTTCTTTTGTTTCAGAATGCTGTGTCTTGGATGCCGTATTTTTGCATCTTTACCGTCCTTGCATATGTTTTTTGCTACGGTTTTGGATTGGGTCCCATTCCGTATTTCATCGGCTCAGGTTAGTTGATTTGTGTTTGTATTAACACAGTTAACAGATGGCACATGAAATTATTTGCTAATTTGTGTTGTTGGTACATGTTTCAGAATTGTTCCAAGTGGGTCCTCGTCCAGTTGCCATGTCTTTCGGCAGCATGGCCAATTGGTTTGGTAACTTCATTGTTGGAATGACTTTCCCTAGCCTTCAAGGCCTCATTGGGCAATACTCATTTCTTCTGTTTGCCACGACTACTGTATTTTTGGCTCTCTTTCTCAAGTAAGTTGTAAAATTAGCATTTGACTCCATATTTCCATGGCATTTATTAATATACAATGAAACTGATCTTACAATCAACAGTTTTGATCTTTTTGATTTATATCCTTATTTCTGCTGGTGATTATCTGAAAAAGAACAGAGTAGGATTTTTGTTTTTTAAATTTCCTGAACCCACAATCTTGCATTCTGTTCTTGAGACTCTTGCAATGGTAGGTTCTGTGTGCCATTGTAGTGGTGTTATGTACTGTCTCATAAACACCCACGGTTTATGGCAACGTGGAGATATGTTGTTTATTGTTTTCCTCAGCCCCATTAGACAGATACTAGAATAATGGGGCACAGCCACTTCCCCCCCCCACATTGTTTCTGACTATGATACTGCATAGCCAGAGGCTGTGATTGATGATAAGTAAACCACAAACCCCATTTTCTCAAGTAGATCCTACACGTGAGACAGCATGGTATGGAATTGGAGCGAAATACATTTTGCCCTTCATAGCATTTTTGTAAAACAAAGTAAGTATGAAAGAATTGCTATTTCAAGCAGCATTGGTCTTGTCAATGGCTACACAGACATTGGAAACCACAAATTACGTTTTCTTCATTTCTTATGCAGATAAATGTCATTGTAATGTGCTCAGAATTAACAAAAATGGTTTATTACAGGTACTATCTGCCAGAGTCTAAAGGTCATGACCCTTGTGACATAGCTGAAATGCTCAAGTATGGTCTCCGTAGTCGGATAAATGTCCCATTGTCATCTTCCCAAAAGAAGCATCGTAATTCTTCTGTCTGTGCCCCAGATGCAGTGAGCATCTCATCTCGCCATCGCCGCTTTTCAGATATCAAGAATCCGGATTCCCTTGTTCTGGAGATTCCTTCCCCCCTGTCTCCATCTGAAGTCTTTTCTAACTCAAGCATGTTGGGCTCCCCAGCTGCTATCATTCAGCAGAACAATTCATATACAAATCTTCCTGCCATTCCTGAGCTCCCAGGTAAGAACTCCATTCTCCCTTCCATCCTTACAGAGTCCAGTGCTAACAACGTTCCTTCCCCACTCCCTATGCATCCTGTGCGTTCCATGTCACGAATGATGCCAAGTATACCAGAAAACTTGGCAGGTACTAACAGCCGACTGGAGCAAGTGCTGACACCCATGGTACAGATGTCTGATGGTCATGATGTGGCTGACGAACACAGTGGCAAATACTTGCAGAGAGATAATCTGTAATTAGTTATTCAAGTTCATTCTAAGCATTAATCCAGTTACAGATGTGGTTGTTGTGGACAAAAGGAGGGAACAGATCAAGAATATGTAGGATACTGGGTTGATGCCTTCTTATGCCTCAAACTGAGAGCTTATGGTGTATGATCTTGGTGTGTCTGATTGGAGTAATTTTAAATTCAGAAAGCAAGCTGGATTAATGTATAGCATGAAGCACTTGTTCACAATTTTAAAGACAGCAGTAAATTGCAACTCATTTACTAATTTATTTTTTCAGCACTTCTTGTCAGTCTGTATCAACCTGCATTTGTATTAGTGTTCTTGGGATTATGATGATCAGTTTATGTTGTAAACTAGGGGTTGAACAGTGTTTTAAAGTCCAGTAAACAAATATTTTAGTTTCCCAGGTGTTCCTGTTGACTCTGATTGAAGGTTAAGATCCATTTCTTCCTATTGTACTGCCTGTTTTAAACTAGGCCAGACATAAAACAATGGAGGAAAAGGAAAATTGAAATTAAAAGACATTGGTTGTTAAGACACGCTAATTTATGAATCTTAAACATTGTTGAATATGGTTTGCCATTTCCTTTGTGCCTCAAATGATGGCCTGACTGCCAAACCCAAATGACAAACATAAATCAACGCTTTTTATTCATCGCTGGTGGCAAGGCACCTGTATCGTTTAACCCCTGGTACTAACAATATTTACTCATATTAGAGGGTGAATTATTCACATTCATCTCTGCAGGGTTTGATTTGTAATTTTTCACACCAAAGGATTAATGGGTACTTTGTTTCATGACTGCAGTAACTATTAAGACAGTAATCTGAGGTAGTAGACCTCCTGCAACTACAAATCAGGCCCTGTACTTAACACCATTCAGAGACAGGTGTTATAACTTGATTTAAAAGTTATGAAGTGTAAAAGAATGTTGTGAATTCCAGTTACCTGTGTGTCTGGCTAATGAAGCAGAAAAAAGAGTTTTTATATTCAGGTTGTCACGTTATAGATCCTTTTAGAGATCTGTTTGCATGGTGCCATGTTTTTAAAATTTGCCAATTAGGTGCATCACAAATATGATTACAGCTGGAATTCTTAACTGTACTTTATTAATATTTCAGTAGCCTGTTGTGTTAAATGATCACTTGCAGTCTTCTTCCATCCATAATGCAATAATATCAGTATAGATTTAGACAACACTAATCCACTTAGTTCACTGAAATGTTTATGTGCTACGTGTTTTGGCCACAGAACCTTGTCTGAAGATGGTGATCTTCAGGCAAGGAATCCTTAAAAGTGTGTTCCCTGAAGATGGCGCTGTGTGGCCGGAACATGTAGCGCAAAAGCATTAAATGTATATATATATATATTTTAGTGACATTCTTAAACATTTTAACAAACATTTTAGTGAATTAAATGTGGATTATTGTTGTCTAAATCTATATTGATATTGTTGCATTAGAGACTTAAGAAGACTACAGGTGTACATTATTAACTTTAATTTATGTAAAAGTGACATTTGTTTTGTTTCTGGAACAGGCTTTTAGTAACCTCCATTGTCTGTGCAATGCATGATATAGTTTCATTTCTGTAACTTGCAACACAATGCTCTAAAAGGCTGGAAATCTTTATAATATTGTATTTTAATAGATAAAAATATCTTGCAGTATATTATTGGCCATGATAATTGTGAAAGATGTTTTCAAGTGGAGGTAGAAGGATAGTAAAAAGAACTTGCATAATCCAGTCACATGTATGTACTTACACAACATTTACTCATAACTGTCTGAATTTTCCATAGCTTTTTACCTTCTCATGTAGAAGCATGAGAGTAAGTTTCATTGAATCACTGGTGCTTTTTACTCTGAATGTGTGTTAAAAACTTTGATATTAAATCACAAAACAGTATTTTTGAGGTGGAAAGTGGAACAGGCATGCACAAATTGTACAGTATGTATGTGTGTTGATGGCGCTGTCCTGGATATGACATTGCCACATTATTTCCAATTTTAAATTGCATAATATTGTAGATTTAAGATTTTTTATGAGTAAAAGTATATAGTTGATTAAAATTATTTATCTAAAGAGTCTCGGCTCTTCCTGTCATCTGGCTACACAACATCATCAGTCTGTCCTTGTCATCCATCCACACAACTGCTCATCCTTGTCATGCAGTGAATCATTTTATCACCTTCACAGAGGTAACCTGAATTTCCTGCTTTCCAGCAAGCTCTTGAGGTCATTGCCATCATGGCAGTAGTAATTGCTTGGATACAAATTTACAGGGATTATTTTTACTGTGTGGACTGGACTTTGTGCATTTCTTGTCTATTAAGAGTCCCATTGTTCTAACATTATACACCAAATTGTGAATTATTTGTCTGCTGGGAACCCTTTCATCACAGTTTATGTGGAAAACTTCGCCAGTACTTTCCAGCAGATCCATATATCATGTAGTGTTATGCAGAAATACATGTTGCTCTATAGCATGCCACACCCTGATGTAACGCACAGCTTACTAATTGTAACTCTGGTCTACACAGTAAAAATATTGTATGTGTAATGCAATAGAATGAATGAATAAATAAATGTATGTATGTATATGAGGGATAGGCCATCTCGGCCCTTGCACTGCGACCTGCAGTGGTCTATTGTGCTTCCCCTTTTGATTGTCACCTCAGCAATCCAGCGCTTCATTTGAAGCGCAGGATTTTCTATGTCGGGGCGTCAAAATAGTTGCATGGTTCCATAAAGTATTGACCCAAGTGATTTAATCTTAAATAAGCTAAGGCCTCGCATTCACACAGGACGTGTGTCGCTGTTTCGTTTTCTTCTTGACACCTCTCACAGGTTGGACTATCACTTAGTCCCAGTTTGAAGAGGTGACCTTTAAGGTGACTAGTGTCCTGTAAGTAGTCCCGTCACCCATTGTAGCTGGTTCCTGTAACTTCAACAGTTCCTTCGCTCTTTTAGCTGAGGGTCTTCGTATGAGTCCCTTTGCTTGCCTTAGTCCAGACAAGGATCCCCAGTATTTATTTTGTTTCATATTTGTCCAGTTCCTGATTGCCTTTCTGGAGACTCCTATAGAGATGGCACAGGCTGGTTCAGGTCCTATGAATGGATGTTCAGCTCCAATCTTAGCTAATTGGTCTGCTGTTTCATTTTCAGCAATACCCTCATGTTCTGGCACCCATATCAGTTGTACCCCTGTTATGTTTGGCCAGTTCCATGAGGGTTTGGTGGCAATCCCAGACCAATTTTGAATTGATCTGGTGTTTGTCAAGCGCTTCAAGTGCAGCTTGGCTGTCAGATAGAATGTAAATGTTCCTATTTCTATAGTTCCTATCTAAATTCTCCATAATACATGCCTTAATGGCATATACTTCTGTCTGGAATACTGTTTTGTAGTGCCCAAGGCTGAAACTAAGTTTTTGTCTCGTGCCATAGCAGTACACACCAGCTCCAGTATGCAATAGAATAACTCCTGTAACAAACTTGTCTGGTGTTTCTTCCAGAAATATAATCAGGAATTGAGAATTTTGTTAGCCTTGTAGCCAAAAAAGGATGGCTCTTGCTTTTGTTGGGTGGCCAAGGTAGCTTCTGTTGACTGGCCGAAACACATTAAGCATAAGATAATGGGGGGAGGGGAAATAAAAGAAGGAGCCTGTGACTTGCTAAATACCTTGATTTTAATTCTTTTGAGCTTGGTTACCTCTTGTTGAAGCCCTAAATGACCAAGGGAGTTCAAACATTCGGTTATCATTGGCGACCATATTTTTTTTTTACCTTGGTTGCAATGTTGTTAGTGGTTTTTTTTTGCTAGTGGGATGGGACTAAGGAAGTCCCTTGTACTGTGGCCACTTCTGGCCTATTGTACCAGCCCCAGATGATAGGTGAGGGTGATTGTGGAGCAATTAGTGGACTGAAGATTGGCAGGGGAAACCTGCCCCAGCTCCACTTTGTCCACCACAAATCCCACTTGGCCAGACCCGGGATTGAACTTTGGCCACTGCGGTGGGAAGTCAGTGACTAACTGCTTGAGCTGTGGTGCGGCCCTTGTTAGTGGTTAAGTATTTTTTTGGAAGGAAATTATATAATATAAAGATCTTTGGTTGTTTTCGTCCTTTTTCCCAAATGTTGAACCCAGAAATCACACTTTCCACAAGGTCCATCAGAGATGCTTCTGTAAGATGAAAAGGTGTACTTGGAAACAAGGACACACATTGTTTGTATGAGAAGCATTTGACTTCTGACTACTGTTGAAGACTTGCCTTCTATAAATCTTAACTGGTGGTGTATCCAGGGATTGAATCCAGTCACTTTGCTCACCTCTTTATCTCTATTAAAAGGGTTGGGTGGGTACAAGTTGTCTGTTGGCTCATAAATAACATTGACTTCAAACTCCAGTGGTTAAAGAAGGCTGTGTGGTATCCAGGTGCATATAAGGAGCGAAGGGGTTAATTTGTTTCTTCAGTGCTGAGTCTGTATAGTGACTAGGATTTAGGCTGCGTACCAAATGTCTTTGGTTCAGTTTTGGGCAAGAGTCAAGATCATCTTTAGACCAGCACAGGGGCACATCTAACCTCTTATCTAGTGCATACTTAAGGTAAAATGGCTGGGCATGCAGCTGATTGCACCCTTCCTTGTGCCGAGGTAAATGCATGGAGCTGTAACCATCTCGCTTCTACGTAGGTTCTTGTGGTGTGTTTAAAGAGGGGAACAATTCACTTTTGTAAGATTGAGGTTATCAGGGTGGTGAAAATTTCAGCTTTCTCTGGATGGTCTACTTGAGATAAATTTTCCACTTTTCCCTATATGGAAACATCCTTCAAGTAATCAGTTTGGTTATTTTACACTTCAAATAAGGCTTCTTGTCTATGATTGACTTGTTACATACATTATACTGTGCATGTGTGCACATATATGCTACATCCATACACATACATAAGCCAACTGAGACCAGACATTCTGCAGCAGAACCTTACCTTCAAGACACCAGGGAATGTCATTGTTTGTAAAGGAGGCAGAAGGTAAGGAGATAAAGCAGTTATTTTAACGGTTTCAACGCAATAAGAAAAAGGCATCTTTGTCACAAACAACAGACGAGAACAAATATATGCATGACAGGCTGAATAATCAGTGGTTAGCTGTCAGATAATCTCACACTGTATATTGTAGGAATCCATCCAAGTCTGAGGCCTTTATGACATTTTTAAACCAGCTTGTTTTTTACAGTGAGATGTTGGTTCCACGTCCAACCCGCAAGTGGGAGGACCACCCCTCATCGGATGTCCATGACTGCTTATTCAATATATTCACAGTTAACTTCCATATCTGGAGGCCATCTCCTCCAGCCATGACATGGTGACAAGGTAACAGTGAAACTAATAACAAGGTTAGTATTTACAATCTTAACAGTATACATCCTGTTGTGTGTTATAAATAGGGTATATAAATGTATATAAAATTATGCAGTCTACACAACAATATTCTATATTTAAAAACAAAGTAGACACTATTGTACCAACATTTGTTTTTATTGTTGCTACATGTTTCGACCCTTCTGCTGGGTCGTCATCAGGCATACAATGATACCAGTCTCAGTTGTTGAATTGCCTCCAACTATTTATATCTTCAATAAGGATCCTTATTGTGCTTTGGGTTTATATGTGTTATGGTTTTCAGCTTAGTTATATTTTAATAGTAAATGATAGAACATCAGGTAAGATTTCATTCAGGCTCATGCTTTCATTCTGTCATCAGTTCTGTGCTTTAATAAGTATGATATTAAATATGAAATATGTTTAATGAGAAATTCAGAAGCAATGAACCTACAAGAAGAAATTTTGTACTTTTATTTCTTTAGCTTTTGGATTCTAATAAGGTTACTGTGTGATAAATTGAAAAAGGGTGATTATATATTTTATCATAGCAACCAACTTTTGGCTGGAAAATCTTTCATGTTTAATGAAAGTTTACTTGAATACCTTCTGAAACAAAGGATTATAAATTATTAATACACTGTGTATAGTTTTATGATCATTTTTAATATACTGCAGAGGTAAATACAGTGTACCATGCAAATTCTTATTCATGAAAATGTGAAATGCCAGGTGACAAGTAATACAGATTTGGCTGTTTCATTATTGCAGCACTTTCAGTTTTGTACGGTTATATTACTGTCTTAAATGCAACGTTTATCCATCTTTCCATTTCTGTACCAGACATAAGTGTGAATCACTGTAGCTAATCACATACATAAAAAGAGTTGCAGCATTCAGCCAATGATGTCAAATGTGACAGTTGATATGTACATGCTGTTATAAGGAAATATGCATTCCAGCTGCATTCATGCCAGAAGACATATTTTATATATACCATTCTGGGTGATAATAAAAATATATAGTCTTAAAATTATATTCTTATATAAGAAAGAACTGTGTGATATTTTGCATGATCATTTATTTCGGACAATATAGAGGAAATGGGAGTACTTTTTTATTTTTAGTTATCTATACGTTATGAACAAAAGTAGTACTTTCACTAAGCAACATAAGCCAGTCACATATCATATTGTTGTCACTAGTGAGATCCATGCAGTAAATGAGGTTCAATTTTAATTTATTAGCATCCATTTTACCTGAAGTGTGGAGTATAATGTTCCTGTCTTGTAAATCCCACAGTGTTTTTCTGAAACATTTGCAAATTTAGTGAGTACTATTTTAATTGGCGGTCAATTAAAGTGATGGCCCTTGTTGTCCAGCAGGGTTTGGACTGCCATTTGCTAAAAGAATCGTAATATGAAATATATTTATGAAGTTCAAGCTTTGTGTTTATGATTGCAATTTATAAGAGTATTTTTTTTATTGATAGTGGGGTGCGACTAAGTCCCTTGAACTGCAGCCACTTCAGATGGTAGGTGAGGGCGATTGTGGAGCAATTGGTGGAATGAAGATTGGCAGGGGAAACGAAATTCTTGGAGAAAACCTGCCCCAGCGCCACTTTGTCCACTACAAATCCCCCTTCACCAGATCCGGGATAGAATCTGGGCCGCCGCGATGGGAAGCCAATGACTAACCGCTTGAGCTATGGCATGGCCTGATTTATAAGAGTAAATCAAACTTTAAATAATATCGGAGAACTTCAGTAAGAGCTGTACAACCAGGTTGACGCTGCTATATGTGTGTGGCCAGCCATGCAGGTAGATGTCTGAACTGTATTTTGTAAGATGTTACAGTATGCCGCGTGGGTGCAGTTTAGTGCAGTTATGAGAACTAATGAATTTTGAAGTCTAACTCAAGCATGGTGAGTCACCTTGCTATGTAACAAGTTTGTTACAATTTGATATAATAGTGAGCCAGCATAGCTCAATCAGTAAAGTGACTGGTTGCTTGTTAGGTGGTACATATTCAGTTTCCAATACCATGTTTTCTCTTTATTGCAATGTCTAGGCCATGTAAAATACCCATCATCCTATTCAAATGCATCGTGGCTTTTTCCTTGAAGATGAAGCTGCTTGGAGTATGACGTTAACTGCTAACTTCATTCTGATACCGAGGTTAAAGATACATGGAGATTTACTTCCATATACACCTTCATGTAGTACTCAGACACAGGGATAACCTATTATTACTAGAATAAAACACATCACAATTTGGTATTAGTGAATGGTTTGAAATTTTCCGTGATACTCCATTCTTTCTCCCCTCTCCATTATATCTGTTTTTCATCGAAGTCAGATTCAAAACAACAGTGCTTGTTCTATAAATTATTATGTTTTATCTACTGGTACTCATTTGGCTCTGGTATGTCCTGTATTATTGATGTTTTAAGTTGATTTTCTTAACCTGATTGAGGTGTAAGCATTGTTCTTGTTGTAGAGATATTAAGAAAAATATTTTTATGTTACTTAGAGGAAGATGACTTTAAATTCCAGGAATAAATACAAAATGATTTGGGGGGGATTATGTGATATGAGAAGTATGTTAAAAAATTTTTTACCTGGTAGTCTTATCAGTAACATAGTTTTTTTTTTGCAACAGTAATAGCAACTAGAGAATGAAATAATGAAAAATCAATTTGTTATACCTCTATGACTAAATTCTTTGTGCACTCTCAGATTAACAACATTGCCTGAAACAAGTATAAAATAAATGAATGAATCTCGCTGATAATGATGTTGATTTATAACAGTAGAATTTCAGTAACTGCTGAGTTTGGTGGAGTTTTAGCCATATTTTATATAAAAGTTTAAGAATTCATTCATGCGTTATTACAAAGACTGTTTAAACTATGTAATATGTATTTGCTGTTTATAAAATGTGTATTACATTACATTATTCTAAAAACTACAGATTGAAGGAAAATTATGTACTAAATATCTCTAAGATAATGTAAAATTTTAATACAGTACCAGTATCATATAATATGTTCATGCCCTATCAATCTGACTAAAAAATAATTGGCATATTGTGTTAAACCAATGTTATCATTGATTTTATTAACTTTGAACTTTATGCAAAATGTCTAACTATATACTTAATTTCTATTAAGATAGTTCATCAATAATTCCCATGTTAATATGATTTTCTTCATATATACACAAACATACATAAACAAAACTATCAAATGGCAGTTTGTCCTTAACTATAGATAGCCTATATATCATATTACGTTATTTTTATGTAACTTCTGAAGCTGAATTGCCTCATAAATACGGCTGGTTTTGTGTCTATATCCGTTTCATTTATAAAACATTATACAGTATCTTTACATATGCAACTAATAACAATATAAATATATATATCTTAATGAGTGTATTTATATGATAAATTATTATATGCAGATTTAATTAATGCAGTTAATTCTAAACTTGGAGCTGAATTCGGAGTTCACTAATTTCTACACTCTTTCTTATGAAACCTTGTCACACACACACACACTCACACACATACTCCTATTACACTGCATTTGCAATTTTTGTAGGTCTACAGTTCTTATGACAGTAACTGAAGTTAAACAATTTATGGATGTGAGTCTTTGGCTGTTGACACAGGTACTGGTATGGGGAGTAACATGTCTGAGAAGTGAAACTATGCCATGCTACAGTACTGTAGCCCATTTTTAGCACTGTGTTCAACTGTGGCTTAGAAACATGCTGTCGTGCGGTGTGTATATGCAAATTAATATGTTTAAATGGTACATGTCTCACCAATAAATTATGTTAATTTATATATTTGAAATGTTAACATAAAACAATGGTCATTGCTAATATATGAATCAGAGTTTTGGAGATAAATTTGCTGATTCATCCATGGTGTACATTTAGAGATTTTCAAGCATTTTTACAATGAAGATTCTCTCATGTGTGTGTTATACGTATCTTTCAGTTACATGGATCTGTGATAAAAAAATAATAGGCCTTATAAGTTACAAATTAATTCTTATACACTGTAGTTTATCATAATAAATTGTTACTTAGTGTGGCATTATAGGCTGCGCCATAGCTCAAGCAGATAGTCGCCGGCTTCCCACCGCGGCAACCCGGGTTCGATCCTGGGTCTGGTCAAGTGGGATTTGTGGTGGACAAAGTGGTGCTGGGGCGGGTTTTCTCCGAGTACTTCGGTTTCCCCTGCCAATCTTCATTCCACCAAATTCTCCATCATCATAATCACCCAGGTCAGGCTACAATAGTCCAATCAGTGGCCGCCATGCCGAGTGGGCCCAGTTGGACTCCACCCCACACTAAGCGAATTTTAGTGTGGCATCAGATCAAAATTTCAACTAACACAAGTATAAAACTCATCATAACATAGTATGAAATGTTAATTTTTCTAGTTGTTGGCATAAAATAAAGTTGAAGTATGTTTATGCGCTTTTGTTCATAAAATAATAATAGGCATTCATTTAGTCAAAGCTGATTAAAGAGGATGTATGATGAAACCGAACTTTAATGAACTCCAGTGTGATACAACCAAAATTATGATGAATCTCTTACTAACAAGCTTACTAATTAGCTCAGTGGAGCTGAATCATTGTTGAGACAGTGTTCAAATTATCTCCATTTATTTGGCTCAGATAATGGTAACATTGTGATTTGGTTTGTTTCCTTGCTGTAATAACTTTGAACATTCGTTTTCAAGCCGTGGCTTATGCTCCTTCAGTTTGTAATAACCTAGAGACTCTTTCTAACTGCAGTGTTAATATTCTCTTGAATCATTTAAGTTCTTCAAAGCTGTGAAGATGAAACATTCATTGTGTAATGTTGAATATTCCACTCAGAGGTATCATTTGTCTAAGAAAATAACTCATTATTCCTGCACTGGTGGATATATGATGATAAATTCACAAAACCAACATGCAGAGAAACCGCAGATATGATAGATTGCAGTAGAAGGAAAGGATTGTAATACAACTTTCCTAGAAACCATACATATATTTTCTACAAGCAACGTTCTTCTGATTATGCTATGAACAACTGAACAATTGCACACACCAGGAAGAAATGAACCCATTTTGCTCTTGATACAGTAGATATTTTGCATGAAATCGAAATGTTCTATGTTGCATTGCTGCAGTGCAGTATCATCAGTAGATACTTAAAAATTCCTGTGAATTATTGAATCTGTTTCTCCTAAATTGGGACCATCCTTGCTGATTTCAGTTCCTTGTAACTTAAGATTATTTAGTTTCCATTCAAATGAATATATGATTGTTTTAGTTTGGTTGTACGTAACTCCCTACCACATTTCAGATATTAACCAACAATTAGAAGCATAGGTTCAGATAACTCAAACACTTATTTATGATNGCTTACGAGAGCGTGTTATCAACAGTTCTCCAGTCAGCGGACTACAGTTGGAGTATAGCAGCCGTCGCGGTAAGAAGATCCGGACGTGTGTGATTGTGTAATTGGGAGCGTGTGATACAGTGATACATAGCTCCCCTACTGTCAACGTGTAGACTACTGAACACAGAGTGAACTGATTTGCGCATAGGGTTATAAGTCGTGAAACCCCGCAACAGTGTTAACAGATTAATGCGATTAGGGTTTGTAAAGTGTGGAAACCCGTGATATTGTGATAATTAATTGTAGCCATTATTTGTAGATTGTTCAATAAACCAGTTAACGATCTCTACAGCGTATTCAGTAACGTGAACACGTTACAATATGAATAAATAATTTTTGATATTTTCTAAAAGATATCGTAGGTTTCAAAACTGTGTTCTTTTTTCACAGTGTGTTAAAACAGTCTCATTTCATTATAGTCTTTGAATCAGAATTGTCTAAGTGTACTTTCTTAATAATAACCATCATTAAATAATTTTTCTTCTAGCTTTATTGCAATTTATTCTTTATGTGACACTTTCTGAAGAAATATTTCTGGCCTGATGATGTGAATAGTGTTTGGCAAGAGTTTATATGGCGTCATGGATGACAAAAATAAGGCTTTCATTCCACAGTCTATCTGGAAAGTATCTTGATGCCACCAAAGTTGTGTTTCATTTTGGAAATGTGAGATTGATTCTCCATGGATTTCTATGCAGAGCCATCTACCAGTAGTGACATTTAACACCATGATATGTGTTCATGGAGTAATCTTCATATGACTGCCACATATTTTTAAACAACTGTCATAGTTTGTTCACTAATTTTCTCTGTTTAGTCATCAATAACATCCCATAAAATTAATACGGCATCAGTACCACCTACAGTAACAACATTTTTGTCATTATACATGAAGCGTGCTGTAGCTATTTGCATGCTGTACACTTTCTCTTCATTGTATTCTGCTTTAGCGCTCAGGCATGGGTACCTGTAAAAAGAAGTAACACATCTTAAACTTGAATTTCACAGTTTTCAATAAAAAAACATAACTTATCATCAACTTAAATCAGGGTATTGGTTCTCTTCTGGTATATGGTTAGTGTTAGGGATTTTAACGTTTTGTTACATCTGTTGGAAAGCATTTGAACTTTGCTATTGCCTTCAGCTAATCCTGGTATTAGGACAAGATATTTTGAGTTGCTCACACGAGACTCCTGTTTGATCATGCTGTGAGTTAACATCATTCCAGTTCATACACGCATCACAACAAATTTTCTTCTTCATGCTCTTTTCACCAGTGTCTTAATATTATCCTTGATCCTGAGATAGATGCACATTAATTTGTAAATGGTAATATGGTATGTTTCTAAGGTTAATTTCAGTATGCATGTCCATATGCACACACACATACACACACAAGCACACATGCACACACATTACAACCGCAAGAGGAAGCAAATTTATTTAAGGTGCTTGTGAACTAAACAAAGGTTTTGTAAAGATTTCCATTGTCTACACATATCACCACTTAAAAAGAAAAAAATGATACCAAACATCCTGTTTCCGTCAGTTCTCTGTTGCTGTGAATAATCTTTAGTTTGACACAGGTCACCATTATTTCTCAATTTAATCAACTTGTTCCATGGCACAAAACCTTTCTTGAAAAATTAATAGTTACATACCTGACCAAGAAGTTTCCTGCTTTTTTTTAATTTGATGTTTCATAATTTTTTTCACAAAAAAAAAATAACGCCAGGTGGATTAGTTTACAACATCCTTAGACTCTATTTCTGTAAGATTAATTTGAATATTAATCTTCCATCTTATCCTAGGCCTCCGAAGTTGTCTTTTCCTATCTTACTTACTTACTTTTACTCATGGATCTGAGCCCATCTTGAGAAGCTGCCAATTGTGCAGCTACTCAAGAAATTCCCAGCATTTTATGGAACCCGAAGGTTCATTACCGTGTTCACAAGAGCCCTCCACTGGTCCCTATCCTGAGCCAGATCAATCCAATCAATACCATCCCATCCTATCTCTCTAAGATCCATTTTAATATTGTCCACCCACCTATGCCTTGGTCTTCCCAGTGGTCTCTTTCCTTTTGGCTTGCCCACCAGTATACTATATGCATTCCTCATCTCCCCCATTCATTGTCTTTTCCTATAGAAATGAAAATTCTTCATGCCCTTCTCAATTTCTTCTTCTATTCTACATGTTGCATTCATTGTATCTCTCTTAATTAAATCATATACCAAATGTTTCCTTAGCATTTTATTTTGAAACATCTGGAGAAGGTAGAACTCTTCATAACCACCATTGTGAGAACCTTAAATCCTACGTCTATAATCTATGTTTATTATTCACTCTAAATAAAGTATAATTCTAATTTCTGTCCCCAAATTCACTGATATCCTTCTAACTGTAATCCTGCCTTCTAACTCAAAGCATGAAACTTACTATTATTCTCTAGTTTACTGCATCTGTATGCCAAGTTACTGAAAGAAAACAATTCTTGTCTTTAGATGTAGGAGAGTTGTGAGAACTGAGTTTCTTTGGACTGCGCCCTCATATGGGGCCATTACGCTATAATGGATATTGACATCGGTGGGATAATAGTTGGCAGGGGAAAACCGAATGTGCTTAGAGAAAACTTGTTCCACTGTAGAAAATAGACTATCTAGGGGCTGAACCTGGGGCTGTGTTTGTCCCTTGTTCTTGATTTTGTATGTGATGAATTTGAACAAATGCCTCCTGTAGCCTGTTTTGCAAGAGCATTTTCTAAAACATTCCACTCACCGGAAAAGCCTTAAGTACCCATCAGCATCTCCAGTCACTAGGAGATCATGTGCAGCTGATCGATTTGCTGTCACAATAAGTGAGGCCATAGGGTAGAACCTGTTATTCCAGATTCCTGCAATGAGATTATTGTGATGTCAGATGTCAAGTATTTATCTCTCTGCATTTTAGACTATACTGTTTTATTTATATAGATATTTGAAGTTAAATTGAAGACATACCTTCAACTAACTACAGAGTGTTAATTTTGGTATAAGTATAAAGGGGAAATCTTCTGTCGTCTTTTTTATACCTAAGTACACCACAAAATTTACATGCCCACGTTTTATATATATAATATATATATAATATAACATATATAATTTTATATAGAGGGATTGTAGTACAATATGAGGGACAGCTAGTAAATAGGTCATAAATAGAAGTAAAACAGCTGTAACGGACATAATAGGTTTTCTATATATATCACTAGGTAGCAGCCACTCGTGTACATATTCAGAGGTTCGTTTCAGCAGTCAAAATGATGACCGTGCTTGAGGAGAATACTACCAAAGAAGAGCGTTCTGTTTTGTGGTTTTTTTCTTTGTGGGCAAAAGGACTCAATGCAAAGGTATTCATAAAGAAATGTTTCCTGTTTATGGTGGGAAGTGTTTATCACTCAAAGCGGTTCACAACTGGGAAAAAGAATTATCTCAAAGAAGTTTGAAAGTCACAGGTGATGCTCAACCAGATCGCCTTGTTGATATTGTGACAGGAGTAACTGTGCAGCGGGTGCAAGAGTTGATTCGAGCTGACAGGGTGATAACAACAGACAGTGTAGCAACTGCACTAGGGTGTTCCCTGGCTTAGAATGTAGCATAATGCATGATCGTTTGAAGTTTCGGGAAGTGTGTGCATGGTGGCTGCCAAAGAACTGAAGGATCATGAAAAATTAACCAAATGGCCCTGTTATTGTAACATCTCTTGCAGTATGCAGATGAAGGAGAAGATATGGTTAACAGGATTGTTACGGGGGACGAATCATGGGTGCATCACTAACAACCTGAATCAAAGTGTGCTTCAGTGCAATGGAAATATCTCGGTTCACCTTCAACTAACGAGCTCAAAGTTTAAGGTTACACCATCAGGTAGGAAGGTTATGCTTACCGTGTTTTTGGATTCTTAGGGGGTATTGTTAGCCCATTTTCAGAAACATGGCAAAAATGTGAATTCTGCATCATACTTTAAAGTTCTTTTAATTTTCTGGATGAAATTCACAGAAAACGTCTAGGCCAACTGGTAAGAAGGGTACTGCTTCATCATGACAATGTCAGACCTCATGCAGCCCAAGCAACCAAGAAGAATTCAAGAATTATGAGTACATGGGGTAATCTTGAACATCTGCCTTACAGCCCAGACTAGGCCCCTAGTGACTTTCATCCCTTCAGTTCACTAAGAAAACCACTTTGCTGGCAAATGTTTTGCCGATGAGGAAGAGGTTGAAACGGAGGTGTGGAAGTGGCTGAGACAACAGACAGACAGACTTCCATGCTGTGGGTTTCAATATGCTGGTAAAGCGATGGGGCAAATATATCAATGTTGGAGGATATGTTGAGAAATAAAGTAAGTAAACAAAAAAAAAAGTAAATATATCCCTGTAACAGACCGTGGAGGCCCATAGGGTTGTGAGACAATTGGCTCATAGATGGCAGCAAGGTTGTCAGCCCTACAAGCCGGCTGCCATTTACCCCAAAGAATATTCCTGGTACTCATTTCTGTTAGAGGCTGAGTCGACCCCAGGGCCATGGTGCGGCTGGAAGGATAGTCTCAATTGATAAAAATCCAATGACCTCATCGGGACTTCAACCCGTGACCTTCCAGCTTGTAGCATAGTGCCTCAACCAACTATGCTACCGCATGCCCCGTATGTCAAGAAATAATCCCCCCCCCCCAGATTTGAATATCACATGTTTTAAGTTTTATATCCATTTGTGACCTATTTACTGACTCTCCCTCATATAGAATTTCCATTCTATGAAGTTCAGTCCCCATTGGTTGTTATTAGGCCACATGACTTTGAAGTAAAACAAAATACTTCCAGTTTCATCACTTAAAATTTCTTAATTAATTTGAGCTTAAATACTCTATAATTTTGTTGTCTTTACTGATTACAAAATTTGTATGAAGAGTCAGATACACATATTAGGTATCAAGACTGCATATATAAGGATTTCAGTGGCAAATATTTCAAGTCTGCATTTCGTAAGCATGAAACCAAGTGTTGTCAAAGTGGTAAACTGAATTAATGTTGTCATAGCATAACTTAACGTAAATGCGAGTTTTTAAAATATGCATATGACTGTTCAGTATTTTATCCCTTATCAAAGAAGGCAATGTTAGAATGAATCTTCATATTTTATCTAGTCAGAACATAATGAAAGAATATGGTTAAAATCTTATTTCTGCTTGAAACAAATGGTATAAAATAACACTAAATTTTATAAATTTTGCCCTTATAATATGTGATCATCATGAGCTCTAATTGCTGAATAATTGGGAGCATTAGAAGAGTCGCTTATGAGATAATCTAATAGTGTTGACAGACAAAATTATAAGTGTATCCTCTTGCATTTATGGTTACATCTGAAAACTTGAGATCATTCAGATCTTACACTTTATGTTGCTACACTTCTTTCCTCATGATAAAAGAAATTAAATTTGTTCTAGTTATGCACAGTATTTTGTGCCATGCATTTATCCAGTTTGGACTGAACGTTACATTTCTAAAAAGCTACAGTAATTTAATTCTTAATAGATTTCTTTTTTTAATCATTTTTTTTTATTTCCTGTCACTTTCAGCCTTCATGCACTTGGTAATAATATGTGAGTTTTTATCAGAAGNATACTTTCAGACTATTCGCAAAACATAATTTTCTTCTTTCATATAATGTTACATTCACAATAATAATATATGTTATACAGCACAGAGAATCAGTTTAATTGCCCTGCTCATGCCCCTTGTAGCTGGTGTACGATAGTATCCTGTCAGTATCACAGACTCCAACATCGTCATCTCATTCCAAGTAAGAATTAAATGTATTTTTGTTTTCGTGATTTAAACAAAGTAAAAAATGAAGAAAGCAGTCTTTTGGGATTTGGCACCGTGTATAAGTGGTGTTAACCGACGTTTCGGAGGAACGTATCGCCTCCATCTTCAGGGTAGAAGAAAAAGTATAAGGAATCTGCAAGCGACAAGACCGTGAGAACGGTAAAAGCAGACTTCTCATGGTCTTGTCGCTTGCAGATTCCTTATACTTTTTCTTCTACCCTGAAGATGGAGGCGATACGTTCCTCCGAAACGTCGGTTAACACCACTTATACACGGTGCCAAATCCCAAAAGACTGCTTTCTTCATTTTTTACTTTGTTTAAATCACGAAAACAAAAATACATTTAATTCTTACTTGGAATGAGATGACGATGTTGGAGTCTGTGATACTGACAGGATACTATCGTACACCAGCTACAAGGGGCATGAGCAGGGCAATTAAACTGATTCTCTGTGCTGTATAACATATATTATTATTGTGAATGTAACATTATATGAAAGAAGAAAATTATGTTTTGCGAATAGTCTGAAAGTATGAAAATGTAATAAAGTAAGATGCTGTAATTAGAGCCACTTATTGGTATTATTATTATTATTGGCACTATTAATATTTCTAAGAGAAAATTAGTGTAGTTGGTTAGATGTCATTGCAAGAGTACTCCTGTGTCTCGTAGTATATAGGAGAGCTTCCTATCTAATAACTTTAGACAAGATTTGATTCTTCAGACTCTGTACATAGCCAGCAGAGTGGTATTCACTTGAGAGAGAAAATTCAGAAGGAAAAGCGAAGGTCTCCAGTGGGAGGACTGCTGAATATGGAGCTTAGAGTGTTAATGAATGTTCAGGGAAATCATTTCATACAAATTATTATTTAAAATTTAAGAAGTTTATTAATGTAACTTCATGCCTGAAAAAAAGAACTATTAAGTATTTAGTTATGATCTTAGGCACTTATGATTCTAAGCATTTAAAATCATAATTTTTATGCATATTCAAAGCATAAATAGAATGCTGATATTTGTGTATGGTTTCTAACATTGAAACAAAATTTGTAGTTACAAATACTAGTCATATGTTGGTTTATTTAAATTAACTCGAAAGTAAGAACATAATTGCTGCTGCATATGATTTCCCCCAATATATAATTTTTGTTACAATATTTGGTTCTGATTTTGGAAAATGAAATTTAACACTCTAGTCTGAAAAATTATTATAATGTGATGTACTGAACATATTTTCTAAATATTACAGAAAGTTGAAAAATCATGCAGGGACAACTCATATTATTAGAAATGCAATAAAATGTAGGAACTTCAAAGAGCCAAGCTGCAGGCATTACTTGATGATGCATATTACCATAAGAAATTTATTAGGAACTTAACAACTTGCTATTTATAATTCTTCATTATTCTCAGTAATTTTGGTATCATGCAATGGATATTTGCTTAAGAATGTGGTTGCCTCATTTTACTATTTATTCTGATTTAATCTTTATGTGGATGTGGATAATATTTTCCCATAAGTTAAATTTACATGTCATACAAAATAGTGTTGAAATTAGGTGACAAAATATATCTGTGCCACTAATTTATTACTAAGTGTAAAAATCTATATTTTGTTCAGGTAGTGCCTGTAAGTGGGGGAACATGGTAGCATAGTTGGTTGAGGCAATACGCTACAAGTCAGAAGGTCATGGGTTTGATTTCTGATGAGATAATTGGATTTTTTCTTCAATTGACCTAATCATTCCAGCCTGGAGTTGACTCAGCCTCTAACAGAAATGAGTACCAGGAATCTTCCTGGGGGGTAAAGGGTGGCTGGTGCATAAGGCTGACAGCCTCACCGCCATCTGTGAGCCTATTGTCTAGAAAATGTGGGAGCCTTGACATCTCGCAACCCTACGGGCCTTCATGGCCTGTTTTTTACTCTTTACTGCCTGTAAGTATCACTAAATGTTCATCATCCCTTACTCTTATATTTTTATTGCATTGAACACATCATATGGACATTTCCTGACATACTACATAAATAGACACAAAGCTAACTGGGATGCAAAGAGTGAAGTAGGATATCATGTGTATATTTTTATATAATTTTCAATTGAAATTGAAATTGCTCTATGAGTGAATGATAAGGACCCTTCTGATTAAAAAAATTTAGACTGAAATACAAATCAGTTCATGACAAGACTAAAAACAGCATTGAACACATAACTCACAAACATAATCATATGACAAGAAAATCATTATCATAATAAAAAACAATTAATGGCTATTATTCAGTATAATATGTAAGGTGGAAATAAATTTAAAAGTTAATTTAAATATTACTGAGTTGTGTGAAATAAAGGAAATCAAGAAAATAATATTGATTTGCTTTAAATTATGAACTACTTGATTTCATGTAATTTTCTTATTAACAGAACTGAATTTTAAGAATGAAAATCATACATAACACAAAATATCTCAATTATGTACTGTAAGAAAGTATAAAATTGATATCATGTGAATCGCGCACCTGTTTCTAAGACTGATCCTAAGACTTTGTTTCTGCGGTGTGCTATAAGAATTGAAAATAAATATGAATTATTTTATATGATTATGTTAATAATTATAATATTGATGTTACTGTTTCTTTTAATTTTTAATTGAATATGACATTAAGATAAAAAATTATAAATTATCAAATAATCAATATTATTTGAAAAATGTGGAACAAGGTGAAAAGTAAAAGTATTTATTGATGGTCCTGAAATTGACTACTCAATAAAATACAGTAACTGTTTACAGTGAATTGCTTATCCTGTGATTGCTGTATTTTCCTTAATCATATCACATGAATTTTTATGGATTAAAGTCATGTGTAAAACTGATGCTATAATTATGTGGCATGTAATTTGTTAAACTATCTCATTTGCAGTTATAATATAAATATTTTTTTAATCATTATGGTAATAATTATAATGTCATTATAATTCTTTTTAAAATAGATGTTGTGTTCTGAAAGGGCAGGTACAAGGTACACGGTAAAGTCTGTTGGAGTTTGAGTACAGAGAATAAAATGAAACAGGAATGCACCTGCCTGAAGCAGAAGCAAATATGGGGAGATGGACTTGAATGCAATACTATTCTGTATAATGAAGCGGATTGTAAGTTTAATAGCCTACTTAGTGTCTGTGGAAAGGATGGTTGGCATTATGTCCTTTACAGTTAAATCTTGATAGTAACCCAAATTACATGAATATGAACAAATTTATCTTAACAGAAAGTTCACAGGTTCCACCAGAGATGATAATTCGACTTGAAGAAAGCAGTCTTCTGGGATTTGGCGCCGTGTATATGTGGTGTTAACCGACGTTTCGGAGGAACGTATCGCCCCCATCTTCAGGGTTGAAGAAAAAGTATAGGTAAATCTGCAAGCGACAACACCGTGAGACACGGTAAAGCAGACTGAAGAGGATACCGTTAGAGCAGAGAGGGAAGGGGATGAACTGCGAGTAAACAAGTGAAAGCAGTGGTGTGGGAGGGGTGGGGGAAGGGAGCCGGGACCAGCGTGATTGTGTAGGGGACCCAGAAGACTGCTTTCTTCATAGTCACCTCCGTGAAAGCCTCAAATCTTACATAATTCGACTTGTCTCTGATAATATTTTTTGTATATGGATTATTTTATATATTAATTTTATCATCTGTGACTAGGAAACTTTAAATTCCTTGGTACTATGGGCCTGGCAGACAGGTTTCATGTCAGAGGTAACAGTGTCAGTACTGAACCACTGAATTTAGAATGTTATACCATACACATATTTTCTGTATGGTGTAGTGTATTTTTAGATATATGAAGTATTAATTTTGAAGTGTCACTGTTCCCCTTACTACTTCTGACTTACTCCCAGTCATCCCTCTTCCCAAATTTCTGCCACTTCTTTCATGCTTGGTTTACTTTTCTACCCTGAAGATAGAGACAGCATATCCCTCCAAAATGTGGTTTTCATCAGTCCCTCCAGACATATGTCAGAATAGTACCACAGTTAGGCCTCTACTACTTCCAAATTATTTCCACTTTGTCATTCGTTCGATTATATGATGCATTATGCCTGTATTCTGTCTAGATAGCAAAATTGTCATAAGATAAACAACAACAACAACAAACCATATCAGTCCAGACAATGGTAATCCTCATTTTGTATTATTTACTTACAAAATACAAGATCATAATCTGCTGTAACAGTCTGCAAATAACTCCCATCTGTACTCCAGTCAAGTTGCGTGAGTGGCTGTGAACCTCGAATTTTGTTCCACTTCTTGTATGAGAAACCATCACGGCTAACACGGAACAGGTACACACTGCCGTTCTGTGAGCCTATTGCAATCATGTCACCAGCTGCAAATGAAAGTACAATATTCAGTTTTATAAAATATTGTAACATGCTAGCTTACAATGATCGCATAACAACGGCTACAATAGGAAGTTAGCAGCCTACAATGAGTCTTCACGGTTACGATAAATACATGGGAGAGTTCCCACAGAGAGAATGCAATAACAGTGGGCCGTTGCCTGTGTCAAAAAAACGTGTTTCCTAGGAGATGAAAGGTAACAAATTGTTCGAAACATTGCATGACAACAGAAGGTTCATTGCATAGCAACCACCAAGGTTATAAAAGCCCAGCTTCGACAGGAGAGGAGTTAGAGTCAAAACCCGTGTGGAGGCAGGATTGAATACCTCCACCGTGACCCTGTGAGTTGTAGGAGGCGACAAAAAGGGAAGTCTCGAAACTGAGACAGTAAATATGGTTGAGAGTCACAAGGGACTCAGACCTGAGGAAGACTGCACTGGCAAAGGCCAGCAGCATATATAAAAGACAGACTCGTCCTCTCGTCAGAGAGGGCACCCCAAAAAACAAGACTGTAACGGTCAAGCAGTAATAAATATCTGGGGCTCGACACTAAGACTTAACTGACTGACTGACTGACTGGCTGTCAGTCGCAATGTGACTTTGACTTGAGAAACTTCAGTATTGGGATAGCCATCGCCAAAGACAGATGAGATCCAGCCATGGCCAAGGACAGTAGTATTGAAGTATTAGGCTAGAAGTCAAGTGACACTACAAGTGATAACAATTGTATGTGTGTAAGAGTGAATTTTCAATAAAGATTTGCTAAATCCAAGACCCATGTAAAGTTATTTGTTGTGTTACATACCCAACATATGACAATATAAATAATATAAAGGTGAGATATCAGGTTCTCACTACAGTAATTCTGAGGAGATGTGGAATGTGACAAAGTGTAGTCTGGTAGATGCCTACCAGTTTAGTTTCTACGAGATTATGTGGCATCACATTCCAGAAGATAATATTCTTAATAATATACACATTTCCAATTTTATTGTAGACATGCTTCAAATCAGTCTGAAGTTTTTCTAGGTGATTTTTGTTCTTCGCATCAGATGCTGGAACATTACTTCACAAAATGCTGTGACCACCTATTTGCATATCCTTCTCAGCTAATCATAAAAGCATTCTTGTTCAGTTCATTCAACACATCATTTCTACAGATGAAATGTCACATTAAATAAACTCAAGATATAAGAAGTGAGGAGCTAGGATAGCCCAGTCAGTAAAGTCACTAGCTTCAGGCTGAACAACTGGACTTACATTCTTAACAAGGACAAGGATTATTTTTGTTACATGTCTAGACTGGTTTCTGAGTTCACCCAAAACTCTTCTATCCAGTGAGTATTAGGAGCTATATTCCCAGTTAAAAAAACGTTTGAAGAGTGAGGCTGATAACTCCCTTCTCTCTTGTGTTGAGGTTAAGAATTTATAAAGTTTTAATAACATTTCTCCCAAAATCTGTATGACATGGTGTTTAGGGGAAGAGTCAACTGTTTTTAGGTGCATTTGAAATACCACCGATTGCCTACTAATGTCATTTGTACCACCTGTCAGTTTTTAAATATGAAACAACCTCAGAATTGTGGGAAAAATATTAATGAAACTTGATATTTGTGACTTTTACTGACATTTGTAGACAAATTCCAGTTCCTATTGAAATCGGGCAAAAGTAATAGGCACTTTATATGAAGACATATATGCCTTTCTTCATTTATCTTGTGCATCTCTTGTTAAATATTTATCAGAGTAAAATATTTCAAACCAAAGATTGTTGAGAAATATCAACTGAACATTTATGTCTGATATTCAACCAGAAGTGTTATGATTTTAAACTCGACTCTTGGTTGTTTTTGCATTTCCTAACTTGTATATTCACTAATCAATAACTGTTTTCTGAAGATACACAAAGATTACCAAAGAAAGCAAATAAATCAGCTTTTTCAGGATAATAATTAAGACAAACAAAGGAAAGTCATGATTGATTGCAGTACCAAAAGTAGATTTGCTTTATTCTTGTAATATGTTGCTTTCTTACAACATGTCTTTGAAATGTATATTGCACAAATTTGATATTTATGTAAGCATATATACTTAATTTTCTTTAATATGTTTAACAACATTGAACAATGGGCCTTATATTCATTGATGACCATTTTTGCATTCAAATATTTACAAAGTTGAGGTCTTCATATCATTTTTCATGATTTGCACAGTACATGATATTGCATCATCTGGACCATTTTCAAAATCTGACAAATATGTCTATAATTGTTTTCCATTCTGGCAATTGACAAATTTAGTGGATTTCAAGACTCCCCCAAAGAAAAAGAAGAGATTGTGATCTTGTAGGTAGATACTGTATTATCATGTCAAGAGGGACTTGCTTCGGGGTCAACATGATGTCAGAATGCAGAATGCCATAATCTGAATACTCACTACCATAAAAGCTTGAAATAACAAGCAGGCATTCCCAAATTATGAATGAATTCAGCTTAGAACTACCTCAGAAATTATAACGTGATAATGTAAAAAAAAAATACAAATGTGATAATATGAATTACAAATAAAGTTACCTGGGTTGTATCCCAGACAGTTAAGTGGTGAGCCACAAACCCTTATTGTAACTACAGGAGCCCCATTTTCTGCATTCAGTACCACAAGGTGGCCCTCTGTGCTACCTGCTGCCAACACCACACCAAATGGATGGAAGCATAAAGACACAGCCTCATAAGAACCCTGAAAAATAATGCTTGCATCAGATTATTTCAACATTAAAAAGGGGAATTTTCTGCAGTTATTCCACATGGCCCAGTTATTTTAACGAATAACTGAGATTAATCAAGCATCTTGTGAATTTGTATTGTGTACTGAATAGTGTTATGGAACCTACTTTCATGGTTAAGAGTAGAAATATGTTTGAAAATGTACCATAAGTATCGCACAATTTTCCGTATTCCATATTGAGGGGGTGGGTTTCCTCATGCACTTAGACTGGTTACTGGTCCATCATGCGTCCCCCTTTAATTTCTACTGTCTCCATACCCTACTGGTACTGGTGCTTACTATCAGCCCCTTTCTGCCAGCGAGGTTCCAACCTCTTACTGGCAGTGGTATCTAATAGTTAGTCCCTTTCTGTCAGCGAGGTCGTCCCTCCTCTGGCAGGGGTTCCTAGTCCCTTTCTGCCAGCAAGGTTTCTACCCTCTACTTGGCAGTGGTATCTAATACTTTAGTCCATTTCTGTCAGAGGTCCCCTCTCCTCTGGCAGTGGTACCTGATACTTCCCCATCTACTGGAGGAATTGGAAACTACTTGGGTGGGAAACTTGGCCTAATTTTGCTCAGAGGTCTCCTAGAGACATGAGGTTCTTTTACTTGCCATAAATCTACAACACGGGACCCACGGCTTAAAGTCCCTCCCAGAGGACTTGTTCCCTGAATTTTTCCGCCCTTAAAAATTCCACGACCTCTGCCGGGTTTTTGAATCCACGTACCTTGAGTCATGAGGTGGGAACGTTACCCCTAGACTCCGGAGGCTGCTAAGTATCGCACAAAGTCAGAGTGTGGTATTCCAAACAAAATGTTTATGATCTGTGGTCAAATTAAATGATAAAGGATTTTAAACAATAAGTATCTCAAACTTGGCTGATCATAGAGATGAAGATAAGCGTAATTTTTGCATGAAAATATGATAGTATTCTAATGCTATTCCCCATAAACTACACGTGCATGATATAAATTAGAGGCGAACTGTAAAATTGTATGTGCTAAAGAGTTACGATGCTTGTAGCTAGAATAATAATTGTTTGTTATTAGATGGGTAAAGGCTGCAAAAAAAAGGCAAAATGCCCTTCCTTTTAACCCACTGGCATTGGCATAAATAGCTTCTCCATGCAGAAATGTTGCACAGGACAATTAAAATAATTTTTTATCCTAGCGTACTCCTTGTACCTAGCTGCAGTGATTCCTGGCTTATCCCGAAGTTTTGGGGCATAAACTTGTGATATGATGTAATTTTACTGAATATAAAACTTCTTTTCACATGAGGTGGTGTATAATGTAGAAAGATTTTAGACCACCATTTTGGGGTTGGCACTAGGTAGAGTTCAGAAAAATGATGTGACATCTTAATATTTGTGTGGTGTTTGACTATAAATTTTTAATAATATATATGGTAATTCTGTTTGTTGTTGTTGTTGTTTTTGTTGTTTCTGCTGCTGCTTTGTTGTCTTTGTTTTTGTTGTTACAGTACTGTTATGGTATGGATTGTGAAAAGGGATTGAAAAATTCAAAACTATGTAACTAATTTGCTACACAATGCTTCCAAAATTGACTAAAAAAGACAAAGGCAAAATAGAGAAATGTGCCAATAGCATGGCAGAAGATCTAAAAAATCACACAAAAAGTAGTGGGGGACTCTCACAGATTGGTACTCGCCGCGCACCTGGACACTCCATAACAGTTTATTTCTCCTCCACATAGCAATATTTTTGTCATGTCCTCCAGTTGCAAACATGTCATCATCTGGGTGGACAGCCAAGCCCCACAAATGTCTACTGTGTCCAAATACAACCTAAAACAGAAAATAGACTTAAAATAATTATCACTCATATTTTAGGTATATTGCAAGTACCATTCTTTTTTTTTTAAATTATGAAAAATAAAAGGCTTAAAAGGCCAGAGAAGAGGCATTCAAATTAAATAAATTTTTAATGCAGCCATCATAAAAAAGAAACCAATAATTTATGGTTTCATTTTAATTTAGATCAGGCGGTTAGCTACTGGCTTCCATCTTGGTGGCCTGGATTCAATCACAAGGCAGGTCATGTTGGATTTATGGTGGAATAAGTTGCACTAGGGCAGGTTATCTTGATACTTCAATTTCCCCATGCCAATTTTCATTTCATTAAATATTCCACAATCATCTATCACCATCCTCAGATCATAAAATAGATCCAACACTGACTAGTGTCCCAAATGGATCAAGTCTCACACCACCCAATAAGTAAAAAAAAAAAAAAAAAAATAGAAGAGAGAGATAATTTTACCTGGTTGAACCTTCTTTGTAAGGAACCTTCCATAATGTTGTTTCGTGTGGTGCCAACGTAGATATTGCCGTCATTTCTTCCTGGTCTTTGCGGATAAATACTTCGGACACCACCAGCTGACTCAGGCAGCTGCAAGAACAAAAACTAATAAAATTTATGTAAGATTTGAGGTTCTCACAGCGGTGGTTATGAAGTCTACTATCTTCTGGGATACAACACCATGTAGTCCATTGAAAGTTAACCAACATTTCTTGGCTTGCCACCTGCTTTCACACTAGTATCATTCTCGACATATTCTACCCTGAAGATGGAGGCGATATTTTCCTCCGAAACATCAATTGATTTTCAACGGACAACATGGCGTTATATCCCAGGAGATAGTACTCTAATGAAATTTATGTTACAAGAGAATGACTTTGATGCTTGGGGAACCTTCTGTATCAGATTTACAGGGATTCAAGTCTTAGATATTTAAAGTTTGTGTTTCTGTTTTTCTTTCTCGGAGGTTTCATTTCTGTCCTGCAGTAACATAGTAGTAAAGATGAGAAGCAAAATTATGTAACATAAGCATATATGTTTATGTTTGTTTAATAAGTAGCTTATAGTACGTCACATATAGATTTTTCAAATGCAGAACATAATGTGTAAATAAAATTAGGATTGAATTCCATCAAATGCAACAGTGTTTTTAATGATAAAATTAGGTCTTTACGTGTTTTGGCCACTGATGATCAACATCTGAAGGCAACCAACAATTCAAAGGAAAGGCTTCACATATGATATGTGCATATGTTATCTTCTAAGGGTTAAAACACTAGTATAATTAAAATACGTTTTCTTAAAAATAACAGAATTTTTTGATTGATTCTAATTTTGCTGTGATTCCCAGTGATGTCTTGTTCCTTCATGGTAGGCCATCTGTACTCTGTTAGTCCTGAATGTGAGGGTGGGTTTATGACGTGTGTGATTTGTTTTGGCAGAACATTTTATTGCTTTAGCAAAAATAATTTTAAATACAGCAGTGTTTTAACCCTTGCAAGACAATACATGCACATAGCAGAGTGAAGCATTTCTTTAAATTCTTTGTTGCCTTCTGATGATGGCTGTCATTAGCCAAAATATGTAATGGCCCTATTTTATTAAGAAAAGAACATTGTTGCACTTGATGGGATTCAATTCTAATTTTACTTAAATGTTATAGAGTGCAGATGTTTTGAAAATGTGGCACAGTTCAGATATATGGAAACGACGATAACAAATCAAAACCTGATTCAGGAGGAAATTAAGAGGAGATTGAACTCGGGTAATGCTTGCTACAATTCAGTTCAGAACCTTTTGTCTTCCTGTCTGCTGTGCAAAAACATAAAGTTTATAATATACAAAACTATAATTTTGCCTGTGGTTCTGTATGGGTGTGAAACTTGGTCTCTGACATTAAGGAAGGAACATAGACTGAGGGTGTTTGAGAACAGAGTGTTGAGGAGAATATTTGGACCAAAGAGAGATGAAGTGACAGGAGGTTGGAGAAAACTGCATAATGATGAGCTTCATAACATGTACTCTTTTCCAAGTATAATTAGAATATCCAAGTCAGGGAGGATGAGGTGGGCAGAGCGTGTACCACGAATGGGGGAGACGAATGCATATGGGATATTGGTGGGAAAGCCAGAAGGAAAGAGACCACTGGGAAAACCAAGGTGTAGGAGAGTGAACAATATTAAAATGGATCTTAGAGACAGAGGATGGTATGGATTGGAGTGATCTGGCTCAGGATAAGGACCAGTGGAGGGTTCTTGTGAACACGGTAATGAACCTTCGAGTTCCATAAAATCCTGGGATCTTCTTGAGTGGCTGCAGATTTGTCTTCTCAAGAAGGGCTCAGCTCCATAAGAAAGTTATAGAGTGCGATAGCTGAGGACAATGTCTGTCATAAGAAAATAATATCTGACGAACATGCTAACCTTTGTTTCAGTAATCTTCTTGTAGTTCTGAAGTGTGTCCCAAGCAATTATCTTGCGATCTTTTTCACCTCCAGACAGTAATGTTCCTTCTGGCAGCATGACAAGAGCACTGATGCCCTTTGTATGTGCCTGAATATTACAAGAAAACAGCAAATTACAATCATGTAGATCAAGCTTATGTAATTGCAAAATATTTTACACAGCAGATTCACATCCCACAAAACCAATTTTTAACTTACTTCTTTAATGTATTCCCTGAAAATGGTTCTTATTAAACAGAAGGAGTGTGATATAAACTTGATAAGAATCAGAACAGCTGGAGGAATTTAGAGGAATAGGAGGTAGCTACAATTTAATATGTCGATGATGCTTCAAATGATCTGATATATTTATCATGTTTTGTCAAAGCCAGAATGATATATGTTAGATGCCTTGATGCTTTCTTTGAGTATGCTAGTTTATTTAATTGGCAGTAATGCTAGGTTACAGATAATTGTGTTGAAACTGAATAGACCTGCTTTTCTGAAGTTATTTCTGGATCTTACATAAATTGAGACATTGCAGTGCCTTCTTTTTCTGGCCTAATTTGCCCTAAAAATTTGTGCTACACATCACATCACATATGCCACTTCAAAAGGAAGACATTCCTAAAACTAAAGAACTTCTGTAACTGTTGTAATTTTATGCATCACTTTAACAGAATTCAAGGTATTGTCACGCATTCTGGTAACGTGACAAGAAATTAATGGGTTCCGGATTACACGAAGCTGTTTATTGGATAGGTCGTTTACAATTACAATTACAATCACACGAAAATAAAGTCTTCCAGACGATTCAACCTGACTAGTCTGTCGTCTTCTGGCTCTTAGCTGAACTGGTTTATTCTGCTCTCATCTCTGCTCCTTTCGCCTCTGATCTGTTTTGACCTCTTCTCAATTCTCCTGTGTTTTCTGTGTCTCAGTTCCAAGTCCAAGTCACATTGCGACTAACGGTCAGTCAGTCAGTCAGTCAGTCAGTAAGTCTTGGTGTCTCAATTATGACCTCTCTTGATCTGTTATAACTGACTGTCAGACGGCCTAGAAGACACTTTCTTCAAGGGTTCCGTTTCACGTGTTCTATACACCGGTCGCTGGTGTATTCGTTGCTGCGGGAACTTCACTTGCGTGGTAACGTCTGTTATGTATGAGTTGTCGCGTGAACCTGTTTCATTGTCATCCAGAAAAAGATACAGAAACGTGGATACCGAGCCGTTCCCAAACAATGGACGCCCGCTGTGACTCAGACATTCTGGTTTTTAGGCGGCACGCCACAGTATGTGAAGATTACTATAAGTTTGGGTTTTCGATGTCATGGGAAAATAAAATATATTACCGCGATATAAGGGTGTGAGTACAGATTGGGTTTGGATTGGATTTGGATTGGATTTTGGATTTATTGACACAACTCGGAACTACAAGTAATTACAGCACTATCGCTGATTTCCACACTTTACAAATCACTAGCACATGCTAAGTCTTCTCAGTCTTGGGTAGTCATATCCTGGCAGCAGATTTTAACACAGAAATTCTAATAGTCTCACTGTAACTGCAATACACATAAAGTCTTCTATTCACAGCCGCACTCTTGCAACGAACTCTTTCCTTCACAGCTGGATTTTCAACTCTCAACTGAACTGGATCGCCTTCTCTTATCCTTACAGAGTTCAGCTGAACTGCCAACGCTCAATTGAACTAGATGTCCCAATTCTCTTCTTTATAACCATTTTGCACGGTACACAGTTTCCAACACTATCTCAGTTGTTGTAGAAGCGCTTTTACCTATCTTTTGCTTATAAACGGTCGCTGTTTACAGAGTCACTGCTTAGCAACGGGTCTATACGCCACAATATTTAGACCTGTAATAGTGTAATGCATAATTTGTAGAATTTCATATTCTTAGCTTCAGTTGTCGCTACCGTTGAAATTCGGTTTGCCAAACTAATAGCTCTGAACTTCAAGGCTACGAAGTTATCCGTCTACATTTCGGTTCTACAGATTATTACCGAAAACTTTTTTTTTTCTAAGATCTCTTGCCATATATAATTTCAAAACCCTGTGTTAAATGGCCTTATTGTCGCTTCCAGCTTACAAGTTTCTGCGTCCATCTTGTTTATTTTAGGAAATTAAAGGATACGAAGTTTGAATGGACTGCAATGAGAGAAAGTTCTTACCAGCTTGTTTCAAAAGCTGAAAGAAAGGGGCATGCAAGCATGGTGGTCTCAGAAGAGAGGAATGTAAGCTAAAATTCTTTATTGAAGTTTACCTCAAACTCCATGCGGACGAAGTAAGCGCCATCACTGTCAACTGAATAAATTGTGATGAATCCGTCACCGTCAGCTGTGACCACGTCTCCATCTTGCTCAAACTGAAGCGTTGTCACATTTGTCCTTGATGGCTGAAATTAGTGAACAATTCTTGAAGCTTTGTATATCTGTGGTAAACCAAGTTTGTGACGCCCTTCGTGAGACTGGTTCATTATCCCACCACATATAGAATATTATATATTATTACAAAAATAATATCTGCTATCTTGAACATGGGGCACGCGGTAGCGTAGTTGGTTGAGGCACTATTCTACAAGCCGGAAGATCGTGGGTTCAAGTCCCGATGACGTAATTGGATTTTTTTTTTCATTGACCTAATCCTTCCAGTTGCAATATGGCCCTGGGGTTGACTCAGCCTCTAACAGAAATGAGTACCAGGAATTAATTAAAACAATTTTTCCTG